CTTCCTTGGCACTGAGCTCCCCTTATAACACAAGTGAGCTTATTTAGATATTACTTTCCCCTTGACCACTCTCCTCTTGTACCACATCTGCTGATTTTCTTATCTGACCCTTTCATAGGACATACCCTATAGCCATTATTATCCTTAAGACTTGCTCTAAAATGTATGGGCCAGGATCTGGGTAAGGCCCTGCTGATCTAAAGGTCAGCAAACTTGCAGGCAACATGGCCTCAATATCAGCTACTCAATTCTGCCACTATCACATGACAGCAGCTACCACCTGAATGAATGGGCATTTCTGTATTTCAATTAAGCTTTATTCACAAAATAGGGAGCAGCCTACAGGCTAGTTTGCCCATTCCTGTCTCAATCGCATCCCCTAGAAATTCTTTTCTTTTATCCCAACCAAGAATATTTTCTCCATCCAAATTTACCAAAAGACCTCCATGCAAACTGCTGACACCATACCAATGCTCTGTCGTTTGCTAAAAGTCCCAGTGACAATGAAACATATATTGAAAAAGAACCCCTTCCCCAGACCTGCTCAGAGCTTTCATTGTCAAGCACCATGCCTCAGGTTCTACTGACCTGGGGGTCTTTATAATCAGTATTTCCTTACTAAGTTACTGTAAAAAAAAAAAAATTGGCAAAGTAAGTACTTACAATTTTGTTGGTAAGTAGGCTGCAGTGTCATCTTTATTTCTGATAATGTCATTACATTTATCAAGTGTTTGAAAGACAGTAAAAGTATCCCCAATGCTATAAAGAGCTGCAAGATTTTTAGCTAACAATTTTCGTGTAGGTGGTCCAGGTGAACTACTTATTAATCCAGTTAATTGTTCAACAAGTTTTTTCTGTTTTTCCTTTACATCAGTCTGTTACAAAAAATAAAGAACATTATCAGTTTTTCTTATATGTGTCTTTGTCACCTTTTAATCACAATTTTAAAACACTTAAAAAGTTAAAATCTACATTAGGCATTAAACCATAAAAGAAAATTTTCAGATAAGGAAAAATTTGGTAAGAAATGAACCATTCCTTTCCAGACTAAATATTATCCTTCCTTCCCCTTCAATGCCAAAAAGTTAGCTAACAATAAATGTGACTACTCTAGATCCAAAAAGTTTCCACACCAACTTACTAAGAAACCAACAGTCAAAGGATGTAAAATAATGGGTATATGGACAACTGATGTCTTAGAACCTAGCAAGGCTGCCTTGTAAAAGCAAAGTCAGTAGTTTGTAAGTTATATAGGTCAGTGAAGAAAACTGAAAGAAGCTCTAAGAGCCAAAGACAGAATAATAAAAAAAAAAACTCAGATATATTTGTAATCAATACCAAGAGTTCATTCAAGAAATGCTTATTGTGCCCTTATTACATGCCATGCACTATTGTATGCACTGTGGTGAAACAGTGAACACAACAAAGTCTCTGTCCTCGTGAGTTTATATTCTAATGGGGAAAGACACTTTACCAAATAAATGAAGAGTGTGAGCTCTTCCTATTTTGTACAGATTAGTAAAAAAGCCCTCTGAAAAGAAGTGAAGGGGTGAGCTATGCAGATATCTGAGATAAATACATTTCAGGCAACACGAACAAGGGCAAAGGTGGAAGTTTGCTTAGTTGAGGAGAGCAAGAGGCCAGTTTGGCTGCGGCAGAGTCAGAGTGAGGAAGCAGTGGGAGATGAAGTCAGAAGGGTAGAAGGGACCAGACTGTATAGCATCCATTACATACCATTGTAAGAATTTTCTACTTCATTCTGAGTAGGAATTTGAAGCACAACAGGGACATGATCAGAGTGTTTTAATAGGCACATTCTGAATATTGAGCAAAGAACACTCTACAAGGTACATGGCTGGAAGCATGGTGAGCACTTAGGAAGCTGCTGTAATAATCCAGATGAGAAATGAGGGTGGGAACAATGGCACTGATGACAAATAATTGAATTCTGGACATATTTGGTGTGTAGAACCAATAGGATTTGCTGATGAATGTGATGTGAAGTTTGAGAAAAAGAGAGAAGTCAAGAATGACTCTAAGGTTTATGACCTGAGCAACTAGAAGGGAAAAATGTTCATTTCCCGAGAAGATGAGCACTAGGCAAAGGACATGTTTGGGATGGGGAAATCAAGAATTTGGCTTTGAATATGTTAATTTTGAGATGCTGTTTAAGAGAGAAAGAGGTAATTGGATATCTGGGAGTCATTATCTTATAGATGGTAGTAAAAATCATGAGATTATGGTATCATTAAAGGAACAGATACTTGTATATACTCATTTTTCAATTTCACAACAAAACTAAAAATATAGTAAGTGTTTCAAGGTAAAGGATCAACTATGTCAAAAGCTGCTGATGGTCAACTGAGACAGAATACTGATCACTGGTTGGAAGAATTTAAGATCACTGATGACTAGACAAGAACCATTCCAGTGGAATGGAGGCAACAAATATTGTTAGAAAGAGCTTAAGAGAAAAATAGAAACTTTGAGCTCAGGATCGTAAATGAATCTATACATTAACTTTGTCTCTCCAGAAATACTACTAAAACTATACTAAAGAGCAACCCCCTGCCCCCCCCCCCAAAAAAAGCACAAATCTACAAGAGCAAAGAAAACAGGAAAAACAATCAACAGAAAAAATATAGAAGCCAGGTATCCCAATAGGGAAAGCTGAGAAGACACCCAACTTACAACACAGAATCCCATAAAGCTCATGTTTGTTTAGTTGTTGTTTGAAGCTGTAGGTGCTTTCAGAGGAGGGAGTGAAGTTGTGCCTAGGACTGGAGGAAATGGTTGAGAGTCTAGAACCTGTAAGGCTCTCATACCGTTCTCCATTCTGAACTTAGGGAGCTCAAGCACAGCTGTGGGCTGGGAAAACTGCACTGAACAGGGGGATTAAATGAAAGTTTACATACTGGATGTTGAAGTCTCTAGCCTTCTGCCCCCAGCTCCTAGAATCGAGGCAGCTGGTAATACAACCTAGGACACTAGAGTAGAAATGTCTCTTCCAGGGAATGAGTAGCTAAGAGAAACCTATGATACCAACATCAGGGGATCCTCAAACAACAGGACTATCCTACAGTGAAATACAGTTAATGAACTTCCCTGCCCAGAGAACTCATAACTCATTCCCAAATTTAAGCAGACAGCAAAATATGATCAGGTATGTGAGGAACCTGCCTAATTTTAAAAGCAGGTAATAAAACGTACACACAATGAAAAGCAACCAGAATAAACAGACTATGTAAGAAGAAGAAAATAGAAAAAAAAAAAACCTATTATAACTCCTCAGAGACATAAGTGAAGATATTCAGATTGCTAAACAGCACTGAGGGACCACCTGAAGTTGGAGATAAATGTATTTAAAATGATGGCAGTCACATAATCATATTTTTCTCCAGTCACATTCAGCTGTCCACATAGAGACATGAAGTAGGCAAAAAGCTAGGTTCAAACAAGATTCAGGTTTTGCCACAAAATGGACAAAGGACAGATAAAAATTCCTATTCCAGTGTTACATTCTCAATTCCACAAGTGACCCACAACCTTTCCAAAACATAATACTTGTTTCTTCACAAATCATGAACATACAATATTCTTCATCATGTAAACCCAGCTGGAAAAAAACAAAAACAAAAAAAACATCATACCTTGTTGGCAGCAACCAAGACTTTATCAAGAAATCTCAACCATTCGAAGATAAAAACCGGTCTCTTTGCTTCAGTGATTTGAGCCAAAGCTTCTTCATTTAGCAATAAACTGTGGGCTAGCTCCATTGCTGAAGTTTAAAAGTCACACCTTAACAAATTAAAAAATACTTGTAAGGATTTTTTGAAGGGCAAGCCTAACGAACGTAACCAGTAAGAAATGAAACGTATGGCTTTACTTCTCACTTCATTTGGGGGAAATTTTCACAATTTCCTTGAGGCAAAGCTGATGAATCTAATTCTAAATGGCAAGGGTAAAAAAAAAAAAAAAAACATAAATGAAAGCCATGCTTGGTTTGGAGGAATGAAAAAAGGGGTAAAATGAAAATTAAAAGAAATTTTGCAAATAACGGGGCACCTGGCTGGCTCAGTCAGTAGAGCAGGTGAGGCTTGAGCTGGAGTCGTGGGGTCAAGCCGCTCGTTGGGCGTAGAGATGACTTAAATTTATTTATTTATTAATTATTATTTATTTATTTATTTATTTATTTATTTATTTATTTATTTATTTATTTATTTCAAACAGGGTACAATTCCGGAAGAAAAATGCGTAGCAAAACACATGTCATTAACCCAGTCCATAAATGGGAAAACTGAAGCAGCAAGATCAAACACAGACCGGGCCTGACAACCCAGCCTCCTCTTTTTCCGCCCACTGCTCGGTGCACAGCACCCTGACCCCCACCCCTCGCCTCTCGGCCCCGAAGCACATCAAAACTCCCAGTATAAAGATGTCACACTGGAAGTCTTCAAAAGTCTTCCTACAGGGCCCGGGCGAGGGAGGCCAGACCCCGGGGCCAAGCTTCAGTGGCAACGCCGGGCGGCGGGGGAAACGCAGCTCGCAGACGCTGCGCGCGCGGGGGTCCGAGTCAAGCCGGCTACTCGGGGCCCGCCGCGGCGCAGCGCGCCCGGGGGAGATGCACGAGGCCGCCGCAGGCCTGGCCAGGGCCACTCGGGCTGTCAACCACAGGTGGCGGCGCCTCAGAACCGAGCCCGGGGACTGAGGAAGGGGAGACGCTCACTACAAACTCGATTTTCCTCCCCAGGCCTTTGAAAACGTACGGGGACGAAGAGGGCAGGGGGCGTGTGCGCGTCGCCGTGCATGCTTGGGCGGCAGACGGGGGTGGCCTCACCTCCTAGTCTGGCAGGTGCGGAACAGCTGAGTTCCGGGGCCGGCAGCGTCGCCTAACGACCCGGATGCCCCGCCTCCCGCGCGCTCGCCGGCAGGAAACGAAGAGAGCGCGTGCGCGGAAGGCGGGACCTCTTTTTTGCGCAAGCGCACTAACTACATCCTCCCAGCCGCACCTGCCGCAGGTTTCCGATCGCTTGCTTGGGAAACTCCGGTGAGACTCGAGGCTCAGAAGTCCTGCGCTGGTAGGTGGGCGCATGCGCACCGCGCACTCTCGGCAGCTGGTCCGCGGCTAGTAGAGCTACCAGGTAAGGGGATGGGGATGCCGGAGAGAATGGAATGGTGAAGGGTGGTGGGCTGTGCGCTTGTTGTGGCTCCCCCGTCACACCATCACCTACATTCCCCCTCGTGAGTCGTCGCGTCTGCGGGCTGCTAGCAGCGGGGAGAAGCAGCCGCCCCTGGTGTGGTTGGGGACTGAGGCTTTTTTGTTCGCTTTCTACTCCACGCCCCCCTACGTAGCCCTTCTCTCCCCCGGGATGCGTAATGGGATTCTCTGTAGGTCTGAAGCCGCATTCTTGTGGCCCCTTCCCTGCCAGCTCTCTGCCAAAACAAAACAAAACCTCACCCCAGCCAAACCTACTACAGCCTCACCACTGTCAAACACTGGTAACTCCATTCTTCCAGGTATTCAGACCAAAAGCCTTGGAGTAAATCCTTGACATCGCTCTTTGACCCACCGCCTCCGGTCTATGAGCCAGTCTCGTTAACTCTACCTTTAAAATACACCCAGAATCCCACCGCTTCTCACCAGTTCCGCTGCTGTTACTGTGGTCCAAGCCACTGTCATCTCTCCCGGATTGTCGCTTTACTGGCTTTATCCTTATGCTCGATGCGACTGAGTGATACTAAAGTGTATTGTACCCACAAAGGGGGAGTTAAAAACAACAACTTGGAACTCCCATTGAGATCTGCCTAACCCTTTAGAGCTAAGTGGGTCCCTTAAAAATAATCTGTTTGCACCGAGACCTGGAGTTTTTGTGGTGTTGAGCCAGTCATTTAGCCAAACTGAGCGTTAATTTCTCCAACTAAAAAGCTGGACTTAACTATTCTTACCTTATATAGTTGTTAATGATTAAATAAGATAAGAAATACTTGAGATACTGGGTAGGCACTAAACCATTTTGTATAAAAACACTATTATTAGAAATGAAGAATTTGAAGTTTAGAGACAGTGGGTGAGTTACCACAAATGCTATGTATAATCTTACATATTTTTAACTTATAGTAAAAAGAAATAACTATAATGTTTAAGGATGCACACATGGATGACAAAACTATGAAGAAAAATAAGAAAATTATATAACTGGTAGGGAATAAAGAGGGCAGCTGACAAGGGTGGTGATATTGGTGATGTGTTATATTGTCCTTTACAGTATAATAAGTTATCCCAAAATTTAGCAGCTTGAAATAACTATAGTCACCTTATTATCTCAGTTTCTATGGGTCAGGAATTTGTTAGTAGTTTAGTTTAGCTCAGACTTTCTTAAGAAGATGTAGTGAAGATGCTACCTCAGACCGAGTCATCTGAAAGTTTGAGGCTCGCTCTTTTTTTTTTTAAGATTTTATTTATTTATTCATGAAAGACACACACAGAAGCAGGCTCCATGCAGGGAGCCTGATGTGGGACTTGATCCTGGATTCCAGGATCACACTCTGAACCAAAGGCAGACTCTCAGCCGCTGAGCCACCCAGGCATCTCTCGAGGCTCTTTCTAAGATGTCTCACTCTTGTGGCTCCCAAGTTTATAATGGTTGTGGACAGGAGATCCGGTCTTCAGTTGCTTAAATGTCCTCACTGCATGGTAGCTGACTTTCTTTAGAATAGATAATCTATCCAGAGTTAGAGTGATATAAGAGCCATATAGTGTCTTTTATGACCAAGAAGTCACTCTCTATCATTTCCACAATACCCTATTAGTTATAGGTCAATCCCTGTCACTGTGGAAGGGGACTCCACAAGCAGGTGGAGAACCAAGAGTCAAGATCATTAGGGGCCATCTTGGAGCCTACTACTTGATTACAAGAGTGTTTGCCTTATAAAAATTCATTACCTGTACATTTAAGACATGACAGCCTAGAGAGAAAAGTATTGTATTATTACAAAATCACAAAGTAAAGACCCTTCTTTTTTTTAAGATTTTATTAATTTATTCATGAAAGACACACAGAGAGAGGCAGAGATATAGGCAGAGGGAGACACAGGTTCCCTGCAGGGAGCCCGATGCGGGAATCAATTCCAGGACTGCAGGATCCTGACCTGAGCCAAAGGCAGACATTCAACCACCGAGCCACCAGGGGCCCCAAGACCCCTCTTGTTCTTATCATAGCTAAACATTTAGAATTTGTGAAAGCTTGGGCCACAGTGGTAGGGATATAGGGAACTTGTCTTTGGGGTTTACAGCCTGGTTAGGAAGATACACATTAAAAATTGGGGGGGAAGAAAAGCAAAACAAAAAGTACAGTAATAATTTTCCCATCCAGTGTAATTGTCCATACTCTCAGTTGCAATTGACAGAACCCCTACTCCAACAAGTTTAAGTAATGAAGAAATTTATTAGCCCATATAGCTAGGAAGAATGTTAGGTCACAGTATCAAAGAAAGAGCTACAGGAATCAGGGTCTTTCTTAGGAACTAGAGTTAGAGACTCATGGCTTTTAGGATTCCCTTCGTCCATTTTTTCTATCTGGCTTCATTCTACGGAACAGGATCTCTTAAGTGGTCAGGGAATGGCCATTTGGAGCCCAGCTTCACATACTTCCAGTTCAGAAACGCCAGTGGAGATCTCTTTCCCCACATAATCTATTAATATCATGTAAGGAAAGAGATGCTTATGTGCCCTGGTTTGATCATCCACTCCTTTGTTGCTGGTATAGTATAGTGTACTATAATTGGGAGTGCCCAGAGGAGTATAGGGTACTGAAATTGCCACCCTCCACTAGAACCCCATGGAGGGCAGAGGACTGAGTTCCCAAAGGAAATGATGGTGTGCAAGCAAAAAAGCATATGTGATCAGCCCGGGTGGCTCAGTGGTTTAGCGCTGCCTTCAGCCCAGGGCCTGATCCTGGAGACCCAGGATAGAGTCCCACATCAGGCTCCCTGCATGGAGCTTGCTTCTCTCCCTCTGCCTGTGCTCTGCCTCTCTCTCTCTCTCTCTCTCTCTCTCTCTCTCTCTTTCATAAATAAATAAAATCTTAAAAAAAAACAGCATATGCGCACTGCAACAAATGACTACCCTTTGTAACTAACTCCTGCGCCAGTAGCATTGATATCACCTGGGAGCCTATTAGAAATACAGAACTTCATGCTCTAGCTCAGAATCAGACACTGGCTCTTAAGAAGATCCTGAGGCAATTTAAATACATATAAAGTTTGAGATGCACTTTTCTTGATAATTATTTTATTCCTGTAAGGGAAAATAATTACATGATTTTAACTATCTTGGATGGAAACTCTACTCAAAAATGTTTTCATTGGGATCCCTGGGTGGCTCAGCAGTTTAGCATCTGCCTTTGGCCCAGGGTGTGATCCTGGAGACCCGGGATCAAGTCCCACATTGGGTTCCTTGTTTGGAGCCTGCTTCTCCCTCAGCCTGTGTCTCTACCTCTCTCTCTCTGTGTCTCATGAATAGATAAATAAAATCTTTTAAAAAAATGTTTTCATATAAGTAAGATGTTAACTATATCAAGTTCCAAATAAGCAGCTTGAGTATGAAATGCTATAGAGCAAAGCCTGGAATGGTCAGGGCATATTTTATGGAGGGTAGCCTAGACTTAGAAGGAAGGAAATATCTGTAGTAAGTTCAAAGGGCAATGAGAAGCCCATATGACTTGAATATTGAATCCTAAAGGAGCTTCAGAGATCAGATTACGAAGGATCCCTCCTGCTCCTGTGTTAAAGTGAAGGATTTGAAATAGGTTAAATGACATGACTTTTTTTTAATATTTTATTTATTTATTCATGAAAGACAGAGAGAGAGGCAGAGACATAGGCAGAGGGAGAAGCAGGCTCCCCATGGGGAGCCCGATGCAGAACTCAATCCCAGGATCCTGGGATCCCAGGACCTTTGGATCACAACCTGAGCCAAAGACAGATGTTCAACCACTGAGCCACCCAGGTGCCCTGACCTGACTTATGTTTTTTTAAAAAACCACTCTAGAGGGGCACCTGGCTGGGTCAGTGGGAAAAGCATGTGATTCTTGATCTCAGAGTCATGAATTTTAGCCCCACATTTGATATAGAGATTACTAAAAAAAAATAAATAAACTTTTTAAAAAGTTGTCTTTAAAAAAAAACCAAATAGCATGTAGGAAACAGATTGGAAGAGGAGAGGCCAAATGCAATGAAACCAACTAGAAATTCTAATAGTTTAGGTGAGAAAGAAATGCCTGAACTAAAGCAATGGTCACAACTATAGGAAAAAAAGGGTGTTGTAGAGGAAGGCTTGGCAGAGGCTTATAAGAGGTCAAGACTAGGCAGATTGTACTGACATTCACTTGAAAATAATAGAGTCTTAAAAAAAAAGAAAGAAAAGAAAATGATAGGGGATGGGGATGCCTGTGTGGCTCAGTGATTGAGCACTGCTTTGGCCCAGGTAGTGACCCTGGAGTCCCAGGATCAAGTCCCACACTGGGCTTCTTGCATGGAGCCTGCTTCTCTCTCTGCCTATGACTCTGCCTCTCTCTCTCTCCATGTCTTTCATGAATAAATAAATAAAACTTAAAAATAAGAAAATAGTAGGGGATGAAGGAGATATGAAGTGGAAGAGAATGAGTTGTTGGAGAGTTTCACACAGAGATGTTGGGAGGCACTCGGTTGTGTGGGAGAGCTCCAGAGAAAGGCATACTTCCATTATAAACTAAAATAATGAGTATTGTTACTTAATCCTATTTGATTTATAGATACCTTTGCCATATGAAGTTGAACATGGCAGAAGAAGAGGACTATATGTCTGATTCCTTCATTAATGTCCAGTAAGTAAATGCGTACACCTCACATAATGATATGCAGGAGACTCTTAAGTAAGAACATTGATTTTAAATGGGAATTGGAAAGTCAGTTTTATTGATTTATGGAAATGCTCCCTAGATATCCATACAAAGATACTTCCCTCTTAATGCTCAACATTTGACTTCTACCCTCAATTCTTGTTATTCTTCTCTTCCAAGGAAATTTACTCTTCTTATTTTATCTTACTGTTTCTTCTAGCTAATATTCAACTTTGTTCTTTATTATTTCCAACCTCCTAGAAAAATTAGTGTAAAATTACTATTTCTTCAACTCTACTTCCTTCAGTTTCCTGCAATCTGTCACCAGCCTTTATTATGTTTACTAAAACAGCCAGTCTTGGAGGTCACTGATTATGTTCTAATATCAAAAATAACAAAGGTGATCATAGAAGTGGTGCTGAACTTTTAAGTAGTGTCAAGTTAATAAGTAGCAAAGTTATGAAAAAACTTAATATACTCATCTAATATAACGTTTCCCCTTACTCTTTAGACAAGACATTAGACCAGGATTGCCAATGCTAAGGCAGATCCGAGAAGCCCGTCGGAAAGAAGAAAAGCAACAGGAAGCTAATTTGAAAAATAGGCAGAAGAGTTTAAAAGAAGAAGAACAAGAAAGACGTGACATTGGGTTGAAGAATGCACTAGGCTGTGAAAACAAAGGGTTTGCCTTGCTGCAAAAGATGGGATATAAAAGTGGTCAGGCCCTTGGCAAGAGTGGTAAGTTCTGTCTGGACATAAACAGGTGTTCCTAGCCACCAAACAGGTGATTTATTGATGAGTCCCAGAGACTTTACCCAACGATTCCAAAATTAAAACAACTGAGTTAATTAGTCTCTTATATGCTAAGAAGCATATGGAGAACTTTCATCTTCCTACGTTTAGACAACCATTTCCCATCAAGAGCTACTTATCAACCCAGCTCAGCCTTCAAGGCCCTAATATCTGGGATGCACAAGGCTAACAGTGAAGGCAGCAGCTAAGACTGGTGGTGAGAGAAGGGTTGAAAAGTACAAACAGCCAAAGGACAGTGAAGTAACATTGAGGAGGATGGCAGGACTCTGCACTGCTCGCTCTGTACCCATGGCAACTGCTTCAGGGAGCACATGGTTGGATAAGCTCAATTCTTACTTCCCTTTTAGAAAGCGGAAAGTTTATTAAGATGTAGATGGCATAGATTTGTAGCAGCTTCTATGAGCTGTCTTTCTGTTCTTTATTGTAATTGCTTTGATCCTCACCTACCAAGGTTTTGCTTTCTCTAGAAACTACTACTCTCTTGGACATAGAGAATCAGTATTTTCACTTCTTGAAACTCTACCTTCAGATGGCGTAGGAGGCTGTGAGTCAGCCTTATGAGGAACAGGTATCTGAAGGCAAAGAAAGTAGTTGATTATAGAGTATGGTCAGTTTTCAGTTTGAAGTGGCATTGAAACTGGAGGGTATGTATAGAACATTGTCACATTGCATACCATGCTCACCTATAGTTTGAGGAAGCATTTCTAAAGTAGTTTGTGTGTTTTGTTCTCTTTTCTTAGGAGATGGTATTGTTGAGCCAATCCCCCTTAACGTCAAAACAGGTATATAATTATTTTGAGCCTATTTACCAGTAATAATAACTTACGCTTAAATCTAGCACATGTATTTGTTTACTAAATACTTTTTTTATGGTAGCGCTATTACAGTTCTTATCACAGGAAGCACTCAGTAAAATGTTTCTTAAACTTCTAAATCTTTTAATTTTTTTTTTTTTATGATAGTCACAGAGACGAGAGAGAGAGAGAGAGAGAGAGAGAGAGGCAGACATAGGCAGAGGGAGAAGCAGGCTCCATGCACCAGGAGCCCAACATGGGATTCGATCCCGGGTCTCCAGGATCGCGCCCTGAGCCAAAGGCAGGCACTAAACCGCTGCGCCAGCCGGGGATTACTAAATCTTTTAAACTAAAAATTAAAGTTTCAGTGAATGTAAAATAAAATTTAAATCACAAAAATGTGGGAAAAAATTGTAACTATTAAAAGTGGAAAGCAAAAAAAAAAAAAAAGTGGAAAGCTATTTTTGTCCATTGAAATGTCCTAAAAGTTTCCAAGACAGATTTATCCAGTCAATGTTTTTCTTAATACTTTGAATGAAGAGAAAAAATATATATATTTTATTTATTCATTATGTTTATATGAAAGTATGACAGTTGATACTATTTTCCCAATTTAAAAAATTTTGTATAGTGTGACTGTCTTATCAGATCAGACTAATCTTTGTAAAAACCAAATTGTGTTTGGGTTTAGAAAAAAAATCTCTAATGTTTTCTCCTGTCATTCATGTCAAATGATTTTGAATGATTGTTCTCAAATTAGAATTGTGTGTAATTTGCAAATATGTCAGTTGCCATGTTTTGAGGTGAAGCCAGCAGGTTCCTCACCAGAGTTTGCTGTTTGAACAGGAAAAAGCGGCCTTGGTCATGAGGCATTACTGAAACGGAAAGCAGAGGAAAAACTAGAAAGTTATAGGAGAAAGATTCACATGAAAAACCAAGCTGAAGAAACAGCTGCAGAGCAGTTTCGGTAACACTTTGTATTTGAGCTATTTAGGGATTCACCTTGTCTTTATTGTGGTGTGTTTTCTGATACTTGGGCACATACAATGGGTAAAAAGAGTACAGACTCTTAGTGGAACTGTTGTCTTCTCTCGACTAGACTGCGACTTAAACATAAGCAAGATGAAGTGAAGCTGGAAGGGGACCTGAGAAGAAGCCAGCGAGCCTGCCGGCAGTTGGATACACAAAAGGCAAGCCTTTCACCTCTATTCAGTTTGGAATACTTTTTTGGCATCCAGTGTGATTTGCCCTGTAATTAGAAAAAAAAAGAAAGAAAAGAACTCCAAGCTCAGTGTATCTAGCCTGCTACCCAGTAAAGCTTTCATCTAACACACGCCACTGATCCTTAATTATTGATATGACAATGACTTGTCTGCTGCAAGAACTGGAGTAGTGTGAATTACCCAATGAGTGTCAAATAACATTTTTGTATTTAATTATCCTCTGCTCGGGATCCCTGGGTGGCGCAGCGGTTTGGCGCCTGCCTTTGGCCCAGGGCGCGATCCTGGAGACCCAGGATCGAATCCCACGTCAGGCTCCCGGTGCATGGAGCCTGCTTCTCCCTCTGCATATGTCTCTGCCTCTGCCTCTCTCTCTCTCTCTCTCTCTATGACTATCATAAATAAATAATAAAAAAAAATTATCCTCTGCTCTGCTTATTCAAGTATTGATGACTTGGAGCTGGTGCATGTAGAAATTCTGTTCACCAGAGTACTTAATTAATAAGAATAGCCTATTTTCAGTACCTTTTGTGTTTCTAATCAGTAAAATCATGGTAGACTACTGTCTATTTCAGATGTGAGTGATTTTTAAAATTCCATTTTTGCTTTTATTTTTTTATTTTGGTATTTCCATCAAAATGAAATTACTTCATTTAAAGTCTTAAAGATGTTTTAAATTTTTCCTCATATGTAAAAAGGCGACTGGAAGCCATTTCTCACTTTTCTGTATTTTCATAGCACTTTGTGTCTGTGTCATGACCCTTAGGATTTCTAGCATATATGTATTATCTCATACCCATTAGGCTACGTATACATGTAGCATCTTTTCCCTATTAGACTGGTGACAACTTGGGGACATTCTTTGAACTGGATCTTCATCCCCATGGTTTATAGAGCATAGTGTTTTACTCTTGGAGCAACCACTCAGAAAATATTTAATTGAGAGAACATGAATTCATCTTGACATGAACATACTTGTGTTTAATTGGGAGTAATTCTGCATTTTCAGAACATTCAGGTTCCTAGGGAAGCATGGTACTGGTTGGGGCTCGAAGAGGAGACTGACGAAGAGGAGGAGAAAGAGCAAGATGAAGATGACTATAAAAGTGAAGACTTAAGTGTATGTTTTGGCACCAGTTCCTTGAGCAGGCTGTCTCAGCCTTGGCACCATTAACACTTTGAGCTGGGTAGTTGTTTGTTGGGAGATGCTGTTCTTTGCCTTGTAGCAGCATCCCTATCCCTGGCTTCCACCCTTTGGATGCCAGTTCCACCTCCCCCTGTGACAACCAGAAATGTCTCCAGACATTACTAAATGTCCCTGAGGGGGAAAATCAGCCCCTCTTGAGAACCACTACATTATAAGGTTATTTTATTAACCCCAAACCAAACTTTATATACTTTCTTCCCTTAGCTTCAATTTATACTCTCATCTCAGCTTCAGTTTGGATGATGGATGAGCTGCAAATGTAAATTATTTTAATTTCTACCTTGTTGCCTATTAAATTTCTGTGATTCTGTAGGAGTACCTCTCTCCTCTACTCATAAACAAAGCAAAAAAAAAAAAAAACCACAGTTCAAAGGAAGTGGAGATTATTCAATGAAGGAAGGACATTTCTATGGTTATCTGTATATAAGCATTTGCAAGAAACTTGTACAATTTGCAAAACCAGTGTTCCACTTAACTGAGAGACCTTTGATGGGAATTTTAAGGACAGAGGGAGGCAGTGTTCATTCTTGGCCCATGGGAGAGGAAGATTCTTTGAAAGTAGAAGGGGTCTTTAAAGGATTCTGATTAAAACAGAGCCAACCCAAACCTATTTTCTAAATGTTACCAAGTGTCTCTTTGTGTCTGGCAAACTTGTGAAAATATCAGGGTGGCTGATAAACTGGGACGTGTTCTAATATATGTGTTCTGCCCTTGGTACCTGGTTAAGAGAATAGCAGAAGATTTATGGCCTTGGGCTGATTTGGCAGGATCCAAGATACCATAAAACCAAGATTCTATTCAGTTCGAACTATTAATGTGCCTATGTTCTCTATCCAGATACTGGAAAAATTACAAATACTGACTGGTTATTTAAGAGAAGAACATCTGTATTGTATTTGGTGTGGAACAGCCTATGAAGGTAAGAGGATGCTTCATACGTTTTAGATACTGAATACAAATGTTCTTTGATATTTTTTACTTTCTGTGTGTGTGTATGAAAGTCCCATTTCCCATAGATGATGGAAATTTTTTATTCCATCCAAATGGCAATGTGGGATCAATGTCTTAATAATTGAGGCCTTATTAAAGGTGCTTTTAATTTTTCAGAAACTAAATGTGCAGAAGGGAATTTTTCGGTCTTCTATTTCAAAATGAAGAATTTGAGTTACTTAGGAATGATGATTTGTTTTCATGCTTCATGTTTAAAGATTCTTTCTGCAGCTATAATACTCGAAAGATATTTAAAATTTATAGAACTAGCTTTTATGTAGTTAGAATATTGTCCCTGAACTATAAAAATCAGAATGTTGGGATCCCTGGGTGGCGCAGCGGTTTGGCGCCTGCCTTTGGCCCAGGGCGCGATCCTGGAGACCCGGGATTGAATCCCACGTTGGGCTCCCGGTGCATGGAACCTGCTTCTCCCTCTGCCTGTGTCTCTGCCTCTCTCTCTCTGTGTGTGACTATCATAAACAAATAAATATTTAAAAAAAAAAAATCAGAATGTTGAAATCCACTCCCATTTTGTTTTTTATTGTAAGGAAAGAAATAGGTTTACAATTTGCCAGATGTGTTATAGAGCCGAGTACTTTCCCTTCTAATACATTCGCCGAAGTTGGCTCTGTTAACTGGAATTTAGGGACTTTATACTTGACAGTAAAGACTTGTTGGTTATTGTTGTATCTTTTCCTGATTTAGCCAAGTAGCAAACACAGCTACAAAATATGTTAATATAATTTTCTGGAATCGTTTACTGGATAAATCCCATTAATCTTTTATTTTCCTCACATAAATCACAGATAAAGAAGACCTCTCTTCAAATTGCCCAGGACCAACTGCCGCAGATCACGACTAAGATTACTCTCAATAAGTACAATCTTAGAAAATGTTATTGTTTGCTAAAAACAGATAGTTGAGCAGTTAGAATTCCCAAATTATGTCAGTAAAGAAAGATGGCCTTTTCTATGTTGTGTTCTTTCTGTAACTTTGGAAATACTTTGTACTTTATGGTTGTTCATCAGTTTCAAGAAAATAATGGAATGCTATCTCAGAACTCAAGGGCAATTACAATTTATGACTCGATTGTGATGCTTATGGGGCTTAAGGACACCAGTAGGTAACTCTCTTATTCCCCTCTTTTCTTTGGAACAAATTAAGAAATAAAACATGGGAGTCAGAGAGAGATCAAAATGTCAGCTTTATTATCAGGGAAGCCAAAGTAGAGAGCCAGGTTGTCTTGTTTTCCTATCAGGCTCCCTAAAATATCTCTCTGCCTGCATACAACTGCAAACCTCTGCCTTGCCAGAGATAGAGCCCACCTTGGCATTCTGAGACCGTTTAGCTTTCAAGGTGAGAGAACCCACTGGAGGCTGGGCCACACGTGCTGAGTTCCTGCTCCCAAAACCACTCATCAGATGAGAGTCTTTTGAGAGGAAATGAATGAGGATTCACAGAGCTTGTTCCCACACTCTTTTTTTTTTTTTTTTAATTTTTATTTACTTAGGATAGTCACAGAGAGAGAGAGAGGCAGAGACACAGGCAGAGGGAGAAGCAGGCTCCATGCACCGGGAGCCTGATGTGGGATTCGATCCCGGGTCTCCAGGATTGCGCCCTGGGCCAAAGGCAGGCGCCAAACCGCTGCGCCACCCAGGGATCCCTGTTGCCACACTTCTATCTCCCAGGGAGGAAGAAAAAGTCCCTTCTGTCCATGCGAGCATGAGGAGGGAAGACCAGTATAAGAGGCAATGTTCCATTAACACTACTTCACTGACATTACTTCATTCTAGCCAGTTTTAGAAACAAAATCATTATGATACTTCTGGAAAAATCATGAGTTTTCACGACAATGTGAACATCCATTGTAGGTGATTGATTGCAGGTTTTGGCTAAAGAAACTTAAGAATTGGGAGTAACCTTAGATATCAGGTGATCCAACTACTCACTAAATTTGAGGGCCTTTGGATAACATTCCCAGCAGGTGGTAATCCAACCTCTGCCTTTATTTTTCTAGCCATTGAGAGCTCCCTGCCTTAAAATAGATTGTTCCATTGCTGGATAACTATGTGATTTTTTAAAGTCATTTTTCTAAAAATCTGCTTCCCTATAATTTAACCGAATATAGCTAAGCACATGCCATGTGGCACACCTCTAAAGATCTTCAGCCAAAATTTGGCATCAAAAATCATGAACTTTTTTTAAAATTTACAAGCTCAGGTGCCTCCCCTAATGATTTTGATTCAGCTGGTCTAGAATAATTTCTGGATATCTGTATTTCTTTTGAAGTTCGAAGAATGAGCCTGATAAGCACCTGTGGATGAAGACTAGTTCTACAGGTTAGAAATAGAGCACTGTTACATTCTTGGGGTACAATTTTATAGCTCACCTTTCAGTACCATTGAGCAAAGGATCAATTTCCTTCCTTTTATTAGAAACCTCACACCCAAGAACACAGCAAAAGCTAAGTTATATTTGAGTTAAGATAATCAATAGTACAACTTGTGTCGGCCTCTGCCCTAATATGACCTAATTCATTTGTTATCATGTTTAGCTTGGGGAACTTTAAAAAAGGATAATACGAACATCCTAACCCAAGAGATTCAGATGTAATTGGTCGGTGTGGCCTAAACATTACTACCCTTGATTCTGAGACTCAGCAGAACTTGTGAATCACCTAGTTAACTTCCAAGCCTCTGTTCTTCATCCAGAAAATGAATTACTATTTTTGTGAATATAAATATACATATTTATATATATAATACTAGGGTTTATACAGTTGGATAATAGTATTTAATATTTACTTTTTCACTTAAAAAATAAAATTGAATTAATAGCTAAAACAAAGGAGTTCATCTTTCCTTGGAATTACAGTCAGATGTGTTACTGTCATTCCAGCCAGTATGCTGACATTCATGTAGCCATTCCCAAAGCCACGTGGATTGTTCTAGATGGAACAGAGTTAGGCACTAGCTTTTTCTCCAGTTACCAACTATTGGAACAACTTCCCGCCTGCCTAGTGGCCAAGAATATTTTTAAGTTGTTCATGCGTAATTAGGCTGAGAATGTGCAGATAACCTTGATGGGATCTGGGACTCCACCAGAGTTATAGTCTGTGTTTCCTGGTCAAGGGCTAGAACTAGGCCTACCTTGGACAGCGGGAAACATCCCTCTAGTCTTATCCATCAACAATGAAAAACACAGGCTTTCAATATGAGTAAAAATTTATTTTTATTAATAAAAGTCTGTTGATATCATAATGACAATGAAAACCAAGGGAAGCAAAACATTGAAAAGAATTTTTAAATTTGCTTTAGTGAATTTGAATTTGCTTCAGTGAAATTTATGTGAAATTTGAAACTTTAACTCATCATGTTGTCATTTACTTTTGTTTATATTGTCCTGTTTCAGTCCTGTCTATAACTTCTTAAGTGTTTCATTTTCTTAATATAAATCCAAAACACCAGAGCTTCTATAAGCCAAAATAAACAGACTTTAATGCATGAAATTGGTTTGCCTTAAACACCTTTATTTTTTAAGTGTTATTTGTCATGTAATTGTCGAAATTGAAAGTGATCATTATTTAGTATTAGACACAGTCTGTAGGATCAAGCATATGAAATTCTTAATACTTTTATTTCCCACCAATTCAAAAGCACTTGCAGAGTTCCTGCTTTGTGCCTTGGGCATATAAAAATGAAAGAGCCTTTCCCTGCTTTCCCGTAATTCACAAAAAGAGCCACATAGGATTACTGAGTTCCAAGGCAGATCGGTGAGCATAACACTGAGGTGGTGAACAATAGCAGTAGCAGGGAGAAATTTAATTCTGAGTGGGGTTGACAGAACACTATGACATCACTCTAAATTTGGTCCTGAAAACCTTGATACACAAAGTTATGAGGGTTACAGTATGACCCAGCACTTCCTTCCACTCCCAGGCATTTATCCAAGAGAAATGAAAACATATGTTCACATAAAACTTGTACAGGAATATTCATAGTAGCATTGTTCATAATAGCAGGAAAGTGGAAACAACCCAAATGTCCATCGAATGATGAATAAATAAGATGTGATACATCCATATAATTGATAATGAGTTGGCAATAAAAAGGAATGAAGTACCAATCCATGCCATGACATGGGTGAACCTTGAAAACATTATGCTAAGTGAAAAAGACCACATATCCTATGATTCTATTTAAATGAAATGTCCAGAGTGGCTGAATCTGTAGAGATGGAAGGTAAATTAGTGGTTACTGAGCTTTGTGGGGAAGATGAGGAGAGTGCTAATGGGTATGGGTTTTCCTTTTGTGATGGCTGCACAACTCTGAACATACTTGACACCACTGAACTGTATAGTTTAAATGGGTGAAATTGTATGCTTTGTGAATTATATATCAGTAAAATTTTATTTAAAAAAATGAATTTTAGGTAGAAACCATAGCAGGGAGCCATTAAGTGCAAAACCTTATTCAAGTCACACAGCCAGCCTACATGGTGAGGGCTTATTCAAGTAACAGTGATCATGGGTCATGGAGTGGGAACCCCCAGAGGAGCATGGCCCTGCCAACACTTCCACTTTAGCCCAGTGTAACTCATTTCAGATTTCTGACCTTCAATACTGTAAGATAATAAATGTATGTTGTTTTAAGCCTTCAGGTTTGTGGTAATTTGTTACAGCAGTCATAGAAAACGGACACAGGTCTCAAATCAACCCCTGAAGAGCCACACATATTTGAGAGAGATTTGCCCCACAGTTTTACCAGTTATACAGTTTTTAGTCAGAGTTTAAACCAACAGTGAGGCCACCATGTATCTGTCAACCATAGTCAATTCATCAGAGGAAATGTAGGATTGGGATAGGCCATAGTCCTAGATACAGAATCACAGACATTAACGTCTGAGTGGACATTTAGATACAAAGAATAAGTATCTAAATGGACTGTCTGCCATACTTTGTTCCTCATCCTGCTCTCCTCTATATAATCTCTGTTGGCAATCCCCTGGATTCTAAATTGAGCTTCAGGGGTTACTTCCAGATAACATACACATCATTTTGTGTATAATTCCATCCTTTCTGTCATGTCCGTATCGTGTTTCCTACAGTCGGCTCTACATCTTCACTTGAATATTCTGGCAGCAACACAAACACGGCATCTCCAAACAAAAGCTAACATTTTGCCTCCCATGCATGCTCCATCTCACCATGTGGACAGACATGAGGTGGCCTCACTATTGGTTTAAATTCTAACGAAAAATTGTATAATAGACAAAACTGTGACACAAAATACCTCTCAAGGATGTGTGACTTTTGGGGGATTAATGTGATGGAGGCCTGTTATTTCCTGTAATGGCATCCAGTCATTCTCTTTCAAACAAACCTGGAGGTAATGTCTGCTGCATACCTTCTCCTTAATTCCCACAATTAGTTACCAACTCCTCTTGGTTCTGACTCCACTATTTTTTCTGTCTTTCATATACAGTCTCTTCCTGCTCTAACCCATTTTAAACACACTGTTTCAATGAACTGGTTGGGTCACACTCCCGCTCAAAAAACAAAAACCTCATTTGTCACCTTTGGAAGTTGCCAGGGCACCAACTCATTCTAAAAATAAGTATTTATCCCATCTGTCCCATTCAGCTTTAGAGTAAATATAGAAGAATCACAGATGACAAAGAGGTTTAATAAAATCCAAAAATCCCTATTTTGCAACCTCTAATGAAATAATAGATCCAAACAATCATCAATGGTTGCTAAAACTGTTAGGTGGAAGATGGAGAGGAACCCACTGATCCATCTTAAGATCACCAAAAATGGAAAAACCAAACATATTCCTCCTGAAGTGATGCAAAAAAAGTATATAGTATCACCTATGCAGTATTCTTGGGGGGAAATTTTGTGAACCAGAATCAAATCAAGCTTCTAGCTCTAACTAGACATGATGGGGATGCTATCAGTCAAATCCTGAGTGAAGGAAATTCTATAAGATATGTGATCCAGTTGCTTCCTCAAATAAGTGGCAAGAGGTAAAGTTTAAAACGGGTAAATGTTACAGAGTAAAAGAGACATCAGCTACAGCAATGTTGGATCCTGATTTATACAAGCAGTGAAATACATTTTTGTAAAGAAAACTGAATAGAAAAAATTATGTGACGAGGAAATCTTATTAATTTTGCTGAATGACAATGTATCATGGTTTTATTAAAATTCAAATGATCTTATGTCAGGGATACATTTTTAAGTATTTACAATGAAATAATTTAATGCCTGAGATTCGCTTTAGTATATACTAGTAAAAAAAAATTATAAAAAGGAAGGGGGAGACATATAAGAAAGGTAGAATATTACTGATGGTTGTTGAAACTGGGTGATGGGTACATAGAGTTTCACAATTCTAGTCTCTTTTTTTTAAGAGTTTATTTATTGGGGCACTTGGGTGGCTAAGTCAGTTAAGCATCTGCCTTCAGCTCAGGTCATGATCTCAGGGTCCTAGGATTGAGCCCACATTGGGCTCCCTGCTCAGTAGGGAGTCTCCCTCTTCTCCTCCCCCCTGCTCATGCTCTCTCTCAAATAAATAAAATAAATTTAAAAAAAAATTAAGAGAGGGAGAGAAGCAGATGACCCACTGAGCGCAGAGCCACACATGGGGCTCGATCCAACCACCGTGAGATCATGACCTGAGCTGAAATGAAGAGTTTGATGCTTAACCAACTGAGTCACCCAGGCAACCCCTATTCTGATTTAATGTATGTTTTAACATAAAAAAATCATAAAAATAAGTATGAATAATATTGGAATCATTCGTTATTCCATAACCAAAACTGAATATGCCAGGAGCCTCAAGTTACGGTCAACACTGTTGTGAGTTTATGTTTCTAGTCAGTGTCCTGGATAATGGAGTGTTGGAAAAGGTGGTATTTAGACTTCTGAACATTTCATCTCAGATACATATATTTTAAGATTTGTAAAAGTATAAGGCAATTTTAGAATGGTAGTTGATTGCTATAAAGTTTGAATCAACCATCAATCCAAGATGGCACCCAAAGTATCTTCTGCTAGTCCCTCCAACAACTCAGAGAAACAAACCAGTATATCCAATGTTTCTCAGGTGTTTCTTTTCCAGAATTTAAGTCACGCCTCTTGCCCAGAATACTGCCCATACAGTTCCTCTCTATTCATCTAAATCCCTCACCTAAGTCTCACTGGAATGCCACGTCTAAGCCCTGCACTATGATACCCCAGTAGAAAGTCATCTCCCACAAACCCACTATTCTCTGTGTTTCCCTACTGTCTCCCAGCACAGTTATCTTCCTAAAGTGTTTGTTCTAATAGATACAAAATCTATTTAAGATAAAAGAATGACTATGCAGTAAACTGTAGTAAACTCAACAGCCAGTTTAAGAAAAAACAGTGAACCTTTGCACTTCACCTCGCTAGTCGCACCACTTCCATCCCTCCTCAGAGAACCACTATGGGATTTAATATTTCTTATTCCTTTCTTTCCCTGTATTGTTTTTTTACCACATTTTTTGAATTTCTAAACAAAATTATGTCATTTAGCATTCTCTGGAACTTTATGTAAAGAGAACCATTCTGTCCACATTTTCTGTAACCACATTTTCTGTAGCTTTGTTTGCTAACATTATGTTCCTATGAGATGTATCATGTTACTACATTGAGCTTGTAATTCATCCATTTTCACTGCTATGTAGTATTACAATGTGTGACAAATGTGTGACATTCGTGACAAATACAATTTATTTATCCATTCTTCTTGGGGTTTTTTTGTTTTTTTTTCTTCTTGTGATATAGATTGTTTTTTATTCTTTTGGCCATTATAGAGCTTCTATGAACATTCTTGTAGGTATTCATGTAGGAATGGAATTGATGGCTTTGAGGGTATATACGCCTTCAACTTAATCAGATCAGACCAAATTGTTTTCCAAAATGATTGTATATCACTTTTTATGGGTCCCCTATTTCTCTAGCTAGCTTGTCAGCTATTTAAGACAGGGAAGGACGTTATATTTTTTGGCTTAGAAACAGTGAACATTAAATAAACAATTATTAGTTGATCTACTAATTGATATAAAAAATTTGAGAGATTTCTCCCCCTATGTTTATAATAAGGAGATGAGCCAGGAAAAAGGCAAATGTATGAATGTCTCTGAAGTAAAAAAAAAAAAAAAAATTGAGCCTTCTTAAAATGTAGTGAAAAATTAAGGGAAAAATGAAAATAGAAGGTAAATACCCTAAAAGATTTTGGTCCATTACAGAAAAAATTGAATATCCAAAGCAGAATACTTTTTTAGAAGGGCTCTAACATGTCCTTGACTTCTTTTTTTCTGCAACATTCTTCCAATCCTTCAAAGTCTCCAGTATTTCAGATGCATTAGGTCGTTTCATGGGCTCAAGTGATAGTAATTTCTGCAGAAGTTGTTTCTGTAATGATAATGAGTCAAAAGTAAGAAACAGAACATTGAAATAAATAAAATTCTGATTATTTTCAAGTACTTACTTCTCTGGCATCAAACACATCTGAGAACTTGCCAGCCCTTAGCTCTTTAAAAATCTGAAAATAAAACATATATATATATATATATATATATATAATCATTAGGAAATTATTCACTTGGAAGGGAAACCAAACTTGCTTCTTAGCTAAGAAGCAAGCAGGACTCCCCTTCCCCATCTCACCCCATCCTTAACGTGTACAAGTGTTAAGAGCATCATATGCACTATCTATCATCCTCTTTGGAATCCTGTGTGATAGGTATTTTCATTACCTCATTGTACAGAGAAGCCTGTTGGCTCTAGGCAAATTCTCTTTATTGAGCTTCAAACCAAGATACCCAGTTGCCTAATGCCTTTAACTTTCCAATACCTCCATAAGAACGTCCATCATCTTGCCTTAATCTACCCCTAACATATCTTTCCAGTGCCACTAACCATCACTTTCTTGTTATTTATATATTCCAATAAAAATGTCACTGCCTGCTATTCCCACACTCTGCACATTGCTGTTTGAAGGCTGGAATTGCCTTCTTTCTATTTTGGATGAGTAGAAGCCCACCAATCCTTCAAAGCCTAGCTTAAATACTTCTATGAAATGGAAATCCCAATAGTTAGCAAGATCTCTATCCTAGCCATTTCCACAAAACTTCATGTCTTCTCCCCAAACATATACAGCATTCTCTCATTTTCCCTTCTAGAATATAAACTCTTAGAGAACAAGTTTTACTCATTTTTAAAACCCTGTAGCATTTAGCACAGTGTCTTATGCAAAGCAGGCAATCAATAAAATTTTACTGACTCAAATAAGAAATATATGAGGTGTATATACTTTCAAAGGAAGACCAAAGTTTTTGGTCTTAAACAAAAAGCTTTGGTTAACCAAATATGGAAAGATAAAATTCATATTTCCTTTTCAGTCAACACGAATATATTCAAGCCTGTCTTTGCATGAGGGCAGTTACTATAACAGCACTTTGGAGATGACCACTAATAATTTTTGTTGCTTCATTCTTTTTTTGTGAGATTATTTACCTCCAGTGTTTCTGAAACAGTGGGACATATGTAAAGAAGTTCTGCAAGAATTAGCCCCAAAGCAAAGATATCCACTTCTTTTCCATATTCTTGTGAAGAAATCTAAAGAGACCAAAATATGTTTAAGTTACTCATCCAATATAAACATCCATGTCTTCTGAAACCAAAAATGTTATTTGACCAAAATATCTTATATAGTATAACAATGCAACAATGCATGTTTGTTAGCAACATATGTGGAGTCTGACTGCCCTGGTTCAGATCCGTCACTACAAAGCCACATCACCCATGTAAATTAACCATTAAGGGTGGAATGATCCCAACCATAAAATGGGGATAACAAAAGTTTCAGCCTCAGAGTTTGACTGTGGTATTAAATAAGATGCAGCAGTTAAAAATAGTTAAAATAGTTCCCACTAAATGACTTTCATGCAAATGTTCATAGAAGATGTATTCCTAATATTCTGACTGGAAGCAATCTGACTATCCATCAGCAGGAGAATGGATACACACATTGTGGTCTGTTCAGGCAACGGAATCATAGTAATGAAAAGGAATAATCTGCTGGGTGCCTGGGTGGCTCAGTGTTGAACATCTGCCTTCAGCTCAGGGTGTGAACCCTGGGGTTCTGGGATTGAGTCATGCATCAGGCTCCCCCTGCAGGGAGCCTCCTTCTCCCTCTGCCTATGTCTCTGCCTCTCTCTGTGTGTCTCTCATGAATGAATGAATAAATAAAATCTTTTTAAAAAGGAATAATCTGCTAGTATAGGCAATGACTCGAGGTTCTCCAACAGACATTACTTTGAATGAGACAGTCAAATACAGAAAAGTACATCAAGTACATCATATGAAGCTCAAGACAGGGAAAACTATTCTGTAGTGATAGAACTCAGAGCACTGGTTACCTCTTGGGAAGGAGGGCTGAACTGGAAAGGGCCTGAGGTAATTTTCACAGGTGGGGACAATGTTCTACATGTTCATAAGCTTATGGGTTTCATAGGTACATGCCTTTGTCAAAAATGTACATTTAAGATACATACATTTTATGGTGTATAAATCATTCCTCAATAAAATGTTTTTCAATTTAAAAACCACCAAGAAAAATGAAAAGCACAATGATGAATGATTTTTCAAAAAATATTTTTAGGGCAACAATACAGGATACAGGAGATATGTAATAAAGTGGGAGTTAAAGGGGAGCCATTAGCCACCTATTGTCTTCTACTTTCACATTCCACAAAATTAAATTAGATCTTAGCATAATGTCTTTAATTTAATTTAATAGCATATGTCTTTAATTTAATTATGACATTAAATTATGTCTTTATGCCACATGCTATCCACAGGGAAGAGGTGGATTTACTCTCCATTCTAGACTCTCAAACATCAAAAAGATGAAAAATAGACAATATACTACCAACCTAAAAATATAAACTATGAGTAATGAATCTATATATAAGACAAACATTCCAATCAATTCAGCCATGTTCATAACAGCAATGTTCACATTAGCCGAAAGGTGGGAGCAATCCAAGTATCCAATGATGGATCAGCAGATAAACAAAATGTGGTATATCCATACAATGGCATATTGCAAAGCCTTAAAACAGAAGGAAATTCTGATATATACTATAACATGGGTGAACCCTGAGGATATTATGGTGAATGAAAGAAACTAGTCACAAAAGGACAAACACTGTATGTATAAGCAGTTTACAAGGTATCTAGAGTATTCAAATTCATAAAGACAGAAAGTAGGATGGTGGTTGCCAGGTCTGGGGAAGGGGGGAATGCGGACCTATTCGATGAGTGCAGAAACGGTAGCACAACAATGTGGATGTACTTGATGCCACTCAACTGTACACTTAAAAATGGTTAAGATGGTAAATTTTTCTAGACATTTTATGTATTTATTTATTTATTTATTTATTTATTTATTTATTTATTTATTTATGAGAGAGAGAAACAGAGCACAAGCGAAAGGCAGATGCTTAACTGATTGAGCCACCCAGGTACTCCTTAAAGATGGTAAATTTTATGTTATGTGTATTTTACCATAATTAAAAATAAGTATCTTTTAAAATCAATAGCCTTGTTAATAACCAATTAGATACAAGGAGTCCCATTTTAACAGCAAAACACTGTACATATTCATGGAAATGCTTTAAAAATATAAGCAGTCTTGGGGCCCCTGCTTAGTAGGGAGTCTGCTTCCCTCTGCTCCTCCCCCCACCTATTCTCTCTCTCTCTCTCTCACTCTTCCTTTCAAAAAAGTAAATAAAAATCTTTTTAAAAAATAAAAATATAAGTGGTCTTCATGAAGACAAAAATATTTTAAAACTTCATTGAAGAATATAAAAGTTCCTTAAGGTAAGTTTATCAGTGTTCCCAACTGTGCTCTGGCCTCCCAGTGAGAGCACGACACTTATCATCTCCTCGCCTTGGATTGGGCCATGGTGTTTAGTGACGTATGCCACTCCCGGGCAGACCCCGCACAAGTCATAATGAGTTCCTGCACTGCTTTCCCTTCTGAGCACAGCAACGACCCTTCCTTCAGCTGGGCTCTGGAATGAAGGAGACAAATGGAACAAAACCACAGCCAGATTGCAGCTGAAATCTTTGGTGTTTTGTATGCCACTAGGAGATTGGGAGTCACTGGTTACCACAGTATTGCCTGGCAAAAGCTGACTTGATAGAGGACTTGAATAAGTGGGAGAAACCTGCCAATTTCCTGCAGCAGAAATCTCAAATATGTAAAAATATAAATTCTTCTTACTGAACTCTTAAATTTAATGCAGTTACTCTCAAAATCTCAACACTAATTACGGAACATGACAAGCTGATTCTACAGTTTTTTCCAAATGGAATAATAAAAGTGAAGACTGAAGAACATTTTTTTTTAAAGATTTTATTTACTTATTTGAGAGAGAATGAGAGAGCACTGGAGAGACAGAGCAAGCACAAGTTGGGGGCAGAGGGAGAGGGAGCAGCAGGCTCCCCACTGAGCAGGGGGCCCAATTCAGGACTCCATCCCAGAACCCTGAGATCATTATCTGAGCCAAAGGCAAATGCTTAACCAACTGAGCCACTCAGGCACCCTAACACTAAGAACATTTTAAAAATGAAGAATAATGTGGGAGGTTCTGCTGTCTGAACACAGAAACTGATATTATAATGCTATAATAACTGAAACAGTATGATACTAAAGAGAAAAAGATAAGAAAAAAAATAACAGTTATTTGGACTGAATAGCATCCAAAAAACAGGTTCATGAGTGTGTAGGGATTTCATTTATTATAAAATAGCATTTCTTTTAAGTTTTTATTTAAATTCCAGTGGATTAACATACAGTATAATATTTCAGGTATACGGTATAGTGATTCAACACTTCCATACAACACCAGGTGCTCATCACAAGTGCACTCCTTAATCCCTATTACCTATTTCACCCAGCTCCCCACCCAGCTCCCCTCTGATAACCATCAGTTCGTTCTCTATAGTTAGGAGTCTGTTTCTTGGTTTGACTCTCTCTTTTTTCCCCTTTGCTCATTTGTTTTGTTTCTTAAATTCCACATATGAGTGAAATCATAAGATATTTGTCTTTGTCTGACTTTTTCTGACTTTTTCTGCCAAGAATTAGTGTAATTCTTTCTAGCTCCATTCATGTCGTCATAAAGGGCATGATTTCATTCTTTTTTATGGCTCAGTAATACTCCAGTGTGTGTGTGTGTGTGTGTGTGTGTGTGTGTGTGTGTGTGTATCCCACATCTTTATCCACCCATCAGTTGATGGACATTTGTGTTGTTACCATAATTTGTAACACAATACTACTATAAATATTGGGATGCATCTATTATTTGAACTAGTAATTTTGTATTCTTTGGGTAAATACCTAGCAGTGTGATTGCTGGGTTGTAGGATAGTTCTATTTTTAACTTTTTGAGAAACTACCATACTGTTTTACGGACTTTGCATTCCCACCAACAATGCAAGACGGTTCCTTCCCCTTTCTCCACATCCTCACCAATACTTGTTTCTTGTGTTGTTGATTTTAGCTATTCTGACAGGTGTGAGGTGATATCTCATTGTAGTTTTGATTTACATTTCCCTGATGATGAGTGATGCTGAGCATCTTTTCATGTCTCTGTTGGTCATCTGTATGTCTCCTTTGGAAAAGTATCTATTCATGTCTTCTGCTCATTTTCTAAATTGGATTATTTGTTTTTTTGAGTGTTGAGTGTTTTAAATGCTTTATATATTTTGGATAATAACTCTTTATCAGATATGTTATTTTATCATTTGCAAATATCTTCTCCCAGTCCTATGCTGCCTTTTAGTTTTATTGTTTCCTTCACTATGCAGAAGCTTTTTTTTTATTTTAAGTGGTTCCAATAGTTTATTTTTGCTTTTGTTTCCCTTACCTAAGAAGTTACATCTAGAAAGAAGTTGCTATAATCAATGTCAAAGAGATTACTGCCTATCTTCTCTTTTAGGACTTTTATGCTTCAAATCTCATATTTAAATCTTTAAGCTATTTTGAATTTATTTTATGTATGGTGTAAGAAAGTCGTCCAGTTTCATTTTTTGCATGTGGCTGTCCAACTTTCCCAACACCATTTGTTGAAGAGATTATCTTTTTCCCATTGGATATTCTTTCTTGCTTTATCAAATATTAATTGGCTATATAATTGTGGGTTCATATCTGGGTTTTCTAATCTGTTCCATGATCTACATGTATATTTTTGAGTCAGTACCATACTGTTTTGATTAAAAATAGCATTTTTACTCTGGTAACATATACACAAAATGTATCATTTTAACCATTTTTATGAGTGCAATTCAGTGGCATTAAGTACCTTTGCAATGTCAGGCAACCATTACAGGATCTATTTCCAAAATTTTTTCATCATTTCAAACAGAAACTGCATCATTAAACAATTTACTACTCTTCTCCCCTCAGGCCCTGGTAACTTCTGTTCTACTTTTTGTTTGTATGAATTTTCCTTAAATTCCTACACACAAATAAAGCTTAAGCTTAAATCACAAACTATCTGATATGGCAACAAGCAACTGCCTTTCCACCCGAGGAAGATCAAGGTATATCCCTTCCTCACGTGTATACAAAAACTAAAGCAAAAACACAAAATAATTTTGTAATCTTGTGGGAGAAATGGCCTCCAAAATAAAAAGGAGAAACCCAGCAGTCATAAAGAAAATACTGAGAAATGTGACAACTTAAAAGCTTCCATGCTACATCATAAACAAAGAAATGCCAAGTAACAGTCAAGGAGAACAAATCTGCAATATGGTTAACAGATATAGAATCAGCAGCCAAATTATATAAATATTCCTCACAAATAAATTAGGAACAGATAACCCAATTAAGAAAAATGAGGAAAGGACACAAGCAGATTATCTGCAAAAAAACTGTAAGTAAATACATGTAAAGATGGCCTCCCTTACCAAAAATCTGAAAAATGCAAACTGAACCAGCAAGACTCCTCATTCATCACAGTGGCCCAAAGTGCAGTCTGATAGCACCCTACTCTGATTGGGAGTGTGAAGGAGAAAGCAACATTCTGCAACACTTTGGGAGGAGGACATAATAAATCTTTTTTTTAATGACAATTTCACAGTACTTGCCAAATTTGAAATGCACTTGTCATTCTATTCAGTAATTTCACTTGAAAGAACCTATCATAGATGATCATGGAAATACTTGCCATCAGAGTCAAAGATAAGGCGGAAAACATGTAAGAACTTGGTACAGCCTAAATAAATACCCATCAATAAGAAAATAGTTACATAAATAATGGTATAGCTCATCATATAGTAGCTACAGTAGCTACAATGGATGTGTCAGATCCACCTGTGCTGATACAGAAGGATTATGATACATTGTTGAGTGAAAAAAATTAAGTCACAAAATAACATCACAGTAACTTGTAAAAAGATGTCTTTGTATTTTTTAAATGCAAAAAGTCTCTCTAGGCATATATATTTATGTCTATATATGTTTATAACTCACAGAAAATTATCTAAAAGGATAAACAAAAGACTCTGAGAAGAGTAGGAGTAGAAAGGAAGGTTTAATGGAATTTTCCAGTTTTATTCTATATGTTTCTGTGCTGTTTTAATTTTATGAGGTGTCTATTATCTCTATAATTAAAAATACAAAAGAAGTGAAAAATACACAGAAAGGGAAGGGACCTCACCTGCTCTGGGCTCATGTACCGAACAGTTCCTTTATTACTTGTCCGATTTGCAAAATCTTTCAAGGATGTCACAAGTCCAAAATCTCCAATCTTTAGGTGTTTTGTATCTACTAAAAATATGTTTCCTGGCTACAGAAAAAAAAAACATTATTTAATTTATAGGTATCACTTTCGACAGACTGTTACACATATCCAAATCATATTTAACAAGGGCTATTTTTATATTTCCTATAAGGCATTTACCCTTACACAGGTAACCCAAAACAGGATACTTAATATCACAGGTCTTTAAAGTGCCAGCTGAGGAAGTAAGAGACTTCTCTGTCAGCAGAGAAGGCTTCAGGCATAGCTGCCTTCAAATGTTTGAAGAGATGTTTAGTGAATGGCGGATTCACTCTGCACAGTACCAGGGGATGGAACCAGGGCCAGAGGTGGAAACAACCCAAAGGCTTGCTCTAATACATCCTAATATACTAATAATGTGGTCCAAAGAATGGGAATTTGTGAGCTCCATCTCAGGGAGTATTCAAGGTGTGGCTGGATTCTGACTTGGTAGAAATGTTGCAAATGTGAGTCCAGGATCTGTGGGGGTTTGAAGTAGAAGCCCTTCAGATCTCTAAGTTTGAGATTCTCAGAATGAGTCTCTTCTCAACAATGCTGTTAAGATATTCGGTGCAGAATTTCTCCTGGGGATTTCCTTTTTTTTTTTTTTTTTAATTATTTTTTTAATCTTTTTTTTTTTTTTTTTTTTTATGATAGCCACAGAGAGAGAGAGAGAGAGAGGCAGAGACACAGGCAGAGGGAGAAGCAGGCTCCATGCACCGGGAGCCCAACGTGGGATTCGATCCCAGGTCTGCAGGATCGCGCCCTGGGCCAAAGGCAGGCGCCAAACCACTGCACACCACCCAGGGATCCCTCCTGGGGATTTCCTTGATGTCAATTTCTCCATCCCACTGGCTGGCACTTCTTAACAAACATACTCCCTCTGTCCTTGAAGGCAGGCCACATGAACTGGAAGTTCATAACTAGCAATGAAGTTACTTCCGTCCACATACATAATTCTTTAAGCAAGCTGAAAAGAGTTGGGGGTGGCGGTGGGGACAGAATGGGGAGTGTTCATCCTATTCTGGAACTTTGTAGAAGGTATTGACCAACATTCTCAAGCCCATGGAAACAGGAAGGTTGTTGATAAAGAGATTAATATTTTGCCATTCTTGGCGCAGCTGGCTAGCTCAGATGGTGAAACGTGCATCTCTTGATCTCAGAGTTGTGCATTTGAGCCCCACATTGGGTGTAGAAATTGCTTAAAAATAAAATCTTTAAAAATTTATATTTGTCATTTTTGAAATGGCAACTTTGAATCAATCCAATGTTGAGCCCTACGAAAATATGAAGACTCCGTAAGGTAAGTGATACTCATGAGAGGGCCTAGCAAAGGAACTGACAGGGAAGAGACCATAAAACCAAGAAGGCTAAAGAGGAGCTTCCAAAAAGCTGACCTGGAAAGGCTATGCAGAAATTAGTAGCTAGATTAGAATACTAACAATTAGATTGGAATTTACTGCCAATAATACAGATGGAAAGCTACAGATGCCTGTGGGGTAGGTATAGAAAGAAAGCATACCAGTGTAGTATTCAAGTGACAATGTAGGAATAGGTTGGGTTGTAAGTGCAACTGCTCTTCCCACATATGTCCATAACTTGACTCTGAGAAACAGGAGATTATAGTTACGATGCTTCTAAATATATAAGCTGGATGAGACTAATAAAAATATCAGATCACTTGTTTACAGGTCATTAAAAAGAAAAATAAAAAATAAGGTCACATTTTCTCTAATCAGTTATGCTATGATAAGAGGGGGAAATTGCAAACTTTATAGGTAAAAAGGCTGAATCCTCAGGCCAAGGATGACCAAAGAGCCCGGGCCTACAGAGGGGAAGAACCCCCAGAAGCTCTTCCTCTAGAAACCTCTATGTCCTTCACCAGTATCTTCATCTAGTTTTTTTTTTTTCCATTTTGCTGTAAAATCTTTTTTTTTATTACTGAGGTATAATTAACATATTATATAAGTTTCAGATGTATGATGTAATACTTTGATGGTCTAATTCTTAAGATTCTGACAGAAAGTGGTAAATGCTGGTAGATTTTTATACAACAGGGACTTCCTTGGGTGAAGACCACTGTCTGCCAAAACCACTGCTGGTATTTTCTGACACTTTACAGAAAAAGGTGCACACCTTGCTGGCATCTTCTCTCAGATGTGAGAAAGCAGCAAACATAGCAGTGAAGTTAAAGAAGTTAAAGAGAGTCAAGAAGGCTCAGGAGTATTAAAATCTGGCCTTTGAGCTACCGCAGACATGGAGAAAACACTGTCTGCACATAGACACAGGAAGAGAACACCCCATGACACAGGGCACAGGCAGCGTGGGACACAAGAGAGCTGGCACAAGAGGCAGTAGGAAAAGGACCAATCAGCACCAGTGTCCTGAATTCATCCAGAGGGGGGCCTGGGAGTTAATACCCAAACTTCTGCATTTATTTGCAGATTACTTTATAAGTAATTGTGCTTAATTTTTTAAAAAATTTTTTATTATTATTTATTTATGATAGAGAGAGAGAGAGGCAGAGACACAGGCAGAGGGAAAAGCAGGCTCCATGCACTGGGAGCCCGACATGGGATTCGATCCCGGGTCTCCAGGATCGTGCCCTGGGCCAAAGGCAGGCGCCAAACCGCTGTGCCACCCAGGGATCCCTAATTTTTTTAACTATACATATGATCATTCCAAAGTGAAGGTAGAGCCATTCTAAATATTCTTTTGAACATAGTTTTTATAACATTCCAACCTTAAAATGCACCTTGAAGATATTGTTAAAGAAAGATGGAATCAGGGGCGCCTGGGTGGCTTAGTTGGTTGAGCATCTGCCTTCAGCTCAGGTCACCATCCTGGGATCCTGGGATCCTGGGATCTAGCCCCATATTGTGCTCCCTGTTTGGCAGGGAGTCTGCTTCTCCCTCTCTCTCTCTCTCCCTCTCCCCACTTGCTTGTGCTTTCTCTCTCATGCTTGTTTTCTCTCAAGTAAATAAATACAATCTTAAAAAAAAAAAAAAACGAAGAAAGACAGAAAGAAAGAAGAGAGAAAGAAAGTATGGAACCAAGTGGATTCCAACACAAAGGCCTCTAGCCTCCAGCTCCTGGGTAGACCAAAGACACAATATCTTTTATGGGCCAATTATTCCTATCTAGGCCCAACAACTCTATACATAGGTGCTTCTTTTTCTCTTTTGCTTTGTTCCTCATTCCTGACTATTGTAGATGCGCAGGGTAAGCAGACAGCCTAGATCCATGTTTCAGCCAGATCCAGAGTGATCAGGAAAGGTTACATAAAGAAATTGAGACCAAAGAAGACAAACAGAAGAGTGTTCCATGCAAGAAGAATATGAACAAAGACTCAGGATTCAGCATGGCTAGTTTGTGATGGGAGTAGGCATATTATAGGGAAGAGACACTGGGGGAGACTGTGAAAAGCCGTTCTGTCCCTTCTTTCATTTTGATGAGAAGGCAAAATAGGAAAACAGCTCATCCAGACCATGAACGAAGCTAGAAAGCCAGCAGAAAATAAAAATACAAAGGTACGCTATGCGTACCAAGTTTTTGGATTACTACAGTTTTCCCATTATGGGGTAGAAATATCTAGCCAACTGCAGAGCAAATTCTAGACTCTGGACCCCAGTAGCTTTGACTGCCCTCAGAGTAATGACTGAGAAATTAAGAGAACCATGTTCCCAAAGCCAGTCACCAGAGTCTCTTCTGCTTCTCAAATTAGCCTGAGTAGCAACAGAGGTCCCAGGGACAGAGTGGCCCGTTGGCTCTGCTAGGCACAGTAATGATTTTGAAGCCACAAATGTTCAGCTTACTAAAGCTATTGGTGTTTGCAACTGGAGTATGAAAAGCAGCCAGATAGCAGCAGAAGTGAACAAGCTCCTTCCTAGAGAGCTCATTCCAATTGTCCCAATAACTTCATTTGTTCTGGACATCTTCTTGAGTGGTGCTGTGGAATGGTGTTTGGGGCAAGTTCTAGATCCATTGCTAACTTTAGAGGATCAGAGATATTATTTCCTCAGGGCTGTCAATTCTAAAACTAGAGAAGATCAATTTTTAAATTATTAAATCATATTTACCAAATCTGAACAGTACATTTTCCATTTACCTTAAGGTCTCTGTGAATTAGCTGTTTGCTGTGTATATAATTCACACCTGCTACTATTTGTTCAAATAATTCCAGAGCCAAAGGTTTGTCTTGTTTCTTGCCTCTTCTGTTGTCAATCCATTGCTCCAATGTTCCTTTATCACAGAATTCCATTTGGATGAAAAGGCACTTAGTTGTTGTTCTGGATATAAAATTCACAGTACAAGTAGCAATAAAAATAGATTTATAAAAAATAATGTTTCTTTTTTTAAAGTATACTTTATCTCCTTAAGAATCCCAAAATATACCTCAAAACAGAAATCTAATATAATAACCTTGAATCAAAATACAACAAATCATTTTTTATTTAAATGAGTTCCCAATGTCCAGAGCTGTATTTGTTAATAACTACTTTATAAAGTATGAGCCTAAAAAAAATAAAATAAGAAAATAAAGTATGAGCCTGCCTGTTCTTTCATGGTGAAGAATCTCTGATCACCTTTGCTAATAGATAGGAAGAGGAACATTAATACAGTGGAACTAAAGAAAGCCAAAGTTCATTTCTACATAAAGTAAACCTGGAACATTTTAATTCACTATCAATACTGAGCATCTGTTTCATGAAAGGCACAGAACAGGCATCTAGAGATGAAAAAACAAGTTAGATACCATCCTTGCTGTCATGGGGGTTATGGTTTAATGAGAGAGAAATACAGGAAAAACAAATCGAAAACAATTGTGTAAGAATAGGTTCTCAAAGAGAAGTGCCAATAAATTGCTATGATATACCTGTGAAGACTGATTTTGCTAACTGCTTTTATGTTGCTTTCTAAACTAGGTTGGCTTCAAAATTAATTTATATTCTTTGAACTTATCTTGGCTACATAGGAAGAGAAAGCCAAGAATTTGCTGAAAGCTGAAGAAGTCCTGTTACTGATGGTCAGTAACTCCTGAAACTAATGATAAAGCTCTCGATTACAGGGGTGGAGCCTGGGCTGGAGTCAGGAGTGGAGAAATAAACAGGCCCTCAATGTCCTCAGGATTCCAGTGAGGACAGTCCCCCACAAACACTGGCTGACTCTCAGACAGAGACGCCAGGTCTTTAGAACCCTCCAGTCCTTTGTCAGGAGCTTGAGACAAAACATGAGTGATGTGAGGTGGGGTACCTCCATCATAGATCATCGTCTTAAAATTATTTTCAATGCCAACCCTTCCTCCGTAAGTGGTGTGGTTGTATTCATGAGAGACCCCTAGGAGAGCCTAGCTGGCTCAGTCGGTAGAGCATGTGATTCCTGATATCAGGGTTGTGAGTTCAACCCCTATGTTGGGCAGGGAACCTACTTAAAATATAAAAAATTAAAAATAAGAGAGACACCCCCACCCCTTGACTGCCCCCCCACCAAGCAGGAGCCTCTAAGAAGGACAGAAAAATGAAGGCAGCTGAGGAGGTTCTTCCAGCTGTTGGCATTTATAACATGTTCACAAAGTTGCCTTTGCAGCCTGGCCTGAAGTTGGGGCATGTGAGCAAGCCTACACATTAAATGTTTGAGATATAAAGGCTAAACCTGAGATTCTGAAAATAGCTGAGGACAATAAAAAAAAAAAATTGAAGCAAGCCTGGAGCAAGGAAGAGGAGGAACAAAAAGATTATTCATTGTTCCCTTACAGAGACATCATAGTGTCTCAGTGTTTGTGATATTAAATGTAATCATTAAACATTGTATGGTCTCATTCATTTGGAGAATATAAAAAATAGTGAAAGGGAATAAAGGGGAAAGGAGGAAAAAATGAGTGGGAAATATCAGGGAGGGAGACAGAACATGAGAGACTCCTAACTCCGGGAAACGAACTACGGGGGGGTGGAAAGGGAGGTGGGCGGGGGGGGGGTGGTTACTGGGTGACGGGCACTGAGGGGGGCACTTGATGGGATGAGCACTGGGTGTTATTCTATATGTTGGCAAATTGAACACCAATAAAAAGTAAATTTATAAAAAATAAAAAATAAATTCAAAATGGATTAAATACAAAAAAAAATAAGAAATAAAAAAATAAATGTAATCATTAATGGCCTTATCCGGTGGCCCACACATAGTAAATAACAGCTTCCTCCATCCTATTAGGGCTATGAGAATTCTTTTTAGTTACCTTGAAGGATTTACGCTGTCCTCAGGATTGTAATCTTCCCCAGCCCAGCAACTACGGTAGTGCACGATATTTACGTGATCAAGCGCTGCCAAAGCTTTTACTTCCCGTTCTACCTTCTTGCTTTAAATAAACAGGGAACATAAGAGTGTCATTATACATTCCTGTAAAAACTACAAGTCGAGTAACAGAAGACAACTATGTATGCTCCCATATTAAAACAGTGGCCATGGTTCTCACACCGAGTGTTTAGAGTAGAAGCCAGGAGCACTCAAAAGGAAAAAAGTGAACACACAGAAAAAAATGTAGCTGTTCTCACTCTCAACGTAAGAGAAAGAGCAGTGACCTAATTAATTATAAATATCAATTTAAAAGTCATCTGTAGTAGACTTTGAAATGACAGTCATGCAATTTTTGGTAGCTAATTCACACACCGTATTTTGTTTAGACCTGTTTTAAAATCACTTTGGATTTCACAGGCAAATCCTATTTGGGCAGCAAGGGTAACCCAGGCCACATGAAGAGCCTAAATCAGAATTTTCAGTGTGTAACAAAAGTACACAAAGGAGATCATCTATGTGGAGAAAGTGTGACTGCACCATACATGTGGGAGCTTTACAGGCATGTGGGGGCAAGAGCTGAGACAATTCTACAGTATACAGAATAAATGAATTTGAGATGTCAAGGATGGGAAAGGATAAGCAAACATTTTATAACTCCATTTTTCAATTTGAAAAGTTCTACATGACATAAAATTTCCAAAAATAAAGGAAGAAAAACTACTCACACATCAACAGTCCTAATACAGTCAGTTATTATTTTGGATTATTTCTTATCATCTTTCTTCATACATATGTTTATATACTTGTAATTATAGAATAGAATTTGTAATCTATTTTTCCACATAACAGGTTATCTTTACCATTTTCCTTGTTACGCATTCGGTATAACAATCATATATAAACTTTTTGATGTTAAAATTTTAAAAGTATAAAAAAGCCGAACAAATAGTGTCATGAATCGCTACCTCGCCATCACTCAAATGAAACAGTTATTAACTCCTGGCCAGTATTGTTTCATCTATGCTCTTACCCATTTCTTCATCTTCCCCAGATTACTCTGAAGCAAATTCCAGCATCGTATCATTTCATGTGCAAATGTTTTCAGTATAGAAGCCTCATTTTTAAAAACTACAAATAGCCATTGAGCAGAGTAGAAAACAAAACATACTTAATCATTTCTTCATTGCTGGACATTTGGTGTCCAGCATTTTTTTTTCACTGTGATAAATGACACTGTGATTTACATCTTCCTGTATAACTTCCTCCTTAATTTGGATAATATCCGTAGAATAGGTTCCCAGACAAGAAATCCATGGGTCATGGTGTATAAATATTCCAAGTATATTTTTAACTGTGCTATTCCAATTTATGAAGCCACTAAAAATGTCCAAAATACTGTGCCTTTATCATTGGTTAAGTATTTACCATTCAAAAAAATGCTATTGAGTGGAAGGAATAACACTTCATTCTTGTCAAACAAAACAATGTGAAAAGAGGGACACTTAGGAAAAAAAAAAAAAAGAGGGGCACTTAGGTGACTCAGCTGGTTAAGCATCTGACTCTTGGTTTTGTCTCCGGTGGTGGGATTGAGCCCTGTGTTGGGCTCTTAGAAACAGGTTTATTTGGCTGAGATAAGGAGTGCTAGGACTCCATGTCTGCTTCTCCTTTGCTCACATCATTTTCCTCAGCTCATGTCCCTTTCCCATCTCCCCTGGTCCCTGAGGAATAGGTCTGCCAAGTTACACATAGTACAACTATCAGAAAAGAACAAGCAAGACTGGTGAACTGATAAGCATGTGATTTAATACCTTCTTACCCATGTGCTCTCTTTTCTGAAGGAGTTCTGCTATTCAGCATGGGAGGGGGTGTAAATAGGTACAGCTAATATATAAAATAAATATGGGTGGCTCAGTGGTTGAGCACTAGGGGTCCCGGGATCGAGTCCTGCATCAGGCTCCCCACAGGGAGCCTGCTTCTCCCTCTGCCTATGTCTCTGCCTCTCTCTCTCTGTGTCTCTCATGTATCATAAAAATCTATATATATGGGGAGCAAAGGGCTATAGTGGAACACAGTGGCCTGGCATTCCAGAGAACAAGTTCTCAATCTCCACCCTGTGAACTCTACCTCTGAAACTAATATTATACCATATGTTCAGTAATTGAATTTAAATAAAATCAAAATTTAAAAATAAAGAGATCTTCACCTTGTTACCATAGTAGGTGTCCAAAGATGGTTATCAATTACTTTCCTCCCCATTCCCCACACATGCATCCACTCCTCAGATTAAAAGGTAGAGTCTATTTGCCCTCCTGCCCCTGAGTCTAAGCTGGGCTTAGTGATTTTGTTTAAAACAATATAATAATCAGAAAAAAAGACAATCATCATATGGTTTCACCCAGATATGGAATATAGAAATGGTGAAAGGAACTATAAGGGAAAGGAGGGAAACTGAGTGGGGAAAAACCAGAGAGGAAGACAAACCATGAGAGACTCCTAACTCTGGAAAACAAACTGAGGGTTGCTGAAGTGGGGGGAGAAGAGCAGGATAGAGTAACTGGGTGACAGGTACTAAGAAGGGCACTTGATGGAATGAGCACTGGGTGTTATATTTTGGCAAATTGAATTTAAATTACGTATTTTAAAAAATAAAATAAAACCAATATAACGTGGAACTTCCAAGACTAAGTCAAAAGTAGTCTTTGCTGTTACCTTTTGGGATGACTTGCCCTGGGGACAATCCCTCTTGGAACCCAGCCACTGAATTGTGAGAAGCCCAGGTGACCTAAAGAGGCCATGTGGAGGTGCTCTGATTAATAGTCCTAGCTGAATTTCCAGCCCATAGCCAGCATCGACCATTAGCCATGTGTGACAACCATCCCTAGCCAAGCTTTCTCATGACTTCTTTTTTAAAAAGATTTTATTTATGTATTTGTGTGTGTGTGTGTGAGAGAGAGAGAGAGAGAGAGAGAGAGAGAGAGGCAGTCCACAAGCATGAGAGCAAGGAGACTGGTGTGGGGCTTGATCCCAGGACCCTAAGACTGTAAGCTGAGCCAAAGTCAGACACTTAGCCACTGAGCTACCCAGGCACCCCCAAGCTTTCTGATGACTTCTGACTACAAATGCACAAGATATGCCATGTAAGGATGGTGCAGATGAGCACAAACAACTAAGAGGAACGTGACAGATAATAATATCTGTTGTTTTTCAGCCACTATGTTTTGGAGTGGCGCATTATGCAATAACAGGCAAACAGGATGGTTACCAACTATGTTTTACCTTTGGCAAATCAGTTCACCTCTTCAAGTCTTAGCTTCCTAATCCGTAAAATAAAGAGAGAAGACCAGAAAATCTCAATGTAAGCTAGATGATTCTATAACTTCAGTTTTCAACAAGACAGGATCAAAAGAAGATCAATGGTATATCCTTTTTTTTTTTTTTTTTAAATAACCGCAGTTAAGTGAGGTCATTTCAGAGTAAGCCAAGTTTCTGATGATGGAGTGACATTTTTAAGGAAGACTAGAAAAAAGTAAATAATATGCTAATGAAGAACAGAGAGACATAAAGAGTATTACAGGTTAACACATCTTCTCATTCAAAGAAACAAACATTTACTACTTACTCGCTATCGTATTTAACACGTTTAATAACATAAATCTTCCCATCAATTTTGTGTTTTGCTTTGAAAACTTGACCATATCCACCTGAGCCAATTGGTTCTATTTCTGTAAAATCACTGGCAAACCTTAAAAGATAAATGTCATTGTTATTCTGAGTTCAATGGTCACTGCCCACGCACCCACCCAACCCTTCCACTTCCTCTTAGTGTCATTGACAGAATGGACTGTATAACAAATATGACTCTCCCCTTCTAAATAAAAAGAGTTGACTCCACAGAAATTCTTGAATCACAAAGTGATAGTTTCTCCTGCTCCTGCTCCCAACATAACAAATCACTCTGGTCATTACATTCAATTCTGGCTGTACAAAGCCATGATAAAGAATCTGGTAACATGTTTAAAACTTGAGAAAGAAGCACCATATTAGATTCCACAGCTACCACCAAGTTTTCATAAGAGACATGACCATGTTCTCTGAGCCTACCTACCTTTGTAACTACTTGGCTGTCCCCTCTCCCTCCTTCCCCACACTCCATCATTAAGCCCTGCCAATTCTACTTCCATCACTGGTGTGTGTGTCCACTTTTCCCCATTTCCAGCATCTTCACACTAGTCCAGGCTTCCTCCAGAACTCTGCTGGCTTGGACACTTCCTCTCCTTCCTTTGCTCCAATCCATGAGCCACACAGCAAGCAGTATGAAAAATTCTGATCATGTCTCTCTATTCCAGACTCTCCAATAGCCTCCTTTTGCACTCAGCAAACCCCAGAAAGTCCTTAGATGGCCTACAAAGGGTCTTGTGCTTCCATCCCCAGATCACCTCATGGCACCATGCTCTTGCTCACTGCAGTTCAGGCACCCAAGCTTCTGCCCCTTGAACATTCACATACCTTTCCTACCTTCACTTTCCCACATGCTCTGCTCTTTCAAAGCCATATACCCCATCTCCCTTTGCTAACTCATCCTCCAGGTGCTCCCACATGGGTGACCCCAGAGAAAGTCCTGCCTCACCCCTGTACTAAATCCAAGGGTTCTGTTTCCATTTCTTACCACACTGTTGCTTTTCCTTCAGACCTCTGCCCGTAGATTGTAATTACAGATTTTTCATGTAATTATCATCCCCATAAAACTCTGAGGGCAGAAGCTGTTTCTATTTGTTCCTACTATAAGTCCAATGCCCATCACAGTGCCAGGTATGTGGCACTTATTAAATGCTTTTATTGATTCTTTATTGTTTTTTTAAACTTGTATTCAATGTCCTCCTGTTGCAAACAGGCTCAAACCCAAACACATAATCTACCACGTGAGGAACCTCTTTTCAAAATGAAATCTGGAATGGAGCTGAAACATGGAAAACAGACTCGACTGGATCTACTCGGATTCCTGCAGGAGTCTTTTTTTTTTAATTGCTGGTTTACAAAAATTTTTACCTTCAATATTGAAAACTTCCATGAATGTCAGAAAAATTCACATTAAGTAACACATAGATCTGCATTTACCACATTCCATTTGGATTCCTCTAAATGTGACTTCTCCAAAAGACACTGATCTTTTGTGGGTCTGACTACTAAAAAAAATTAAACTGTTTGGGGAGAAATATAATTTAACCTGGCTGATGTATGAGTCCCCATAGACACTTTTATCGAATGAGCAAATATATCTTTAAACAGATTATTTTTTATAGGTTCCCCTCTTACCTGCCTTCCACTGTATACTTGTGTTCTTTGGTCATAGGAGAGCTAAAGGTAGGTGCTAAAGTTCTAAAATGTAAGAGAAGAATACAAAACTCAAGTAAAACTGAAATAAAATATAACTTTATGTCATGTGCTAGTTTTTCTTATACTTTGAGTCAACTAATAGAATTACTAGATAGAAAGTGTTAACCTTTTCCTTTATAAAATATACTTATAGTTCTCCTCTGTCCACTAATAATGTTTCATTCCTTTTCTGATTCCTTTTTTTCTTTTCTTTTTTTTTGCCAATATTCATTGTTGGTGTGCCACCAGCCTCTCCTTTCATCTCTACAGACTCCAAAACCAAAGGAAATATATCTCCTTACACCATTATTCTGTGTCATTTTCCCTTTGTACTTTATTCCTGACTGGTGGTGAGCCTCCTGCTATGGGAAGTTCAACCCTCACTTAAAATTAAACATATATTCAAACTGCAATCTTCCCCCTAAACTCTCAAGTCTTGGACTTCCTTCACACTAACAGTGCCATGGTTTCTGTCTGTGTCTCGTTCATGAGGACCAATCCTCAAATCCTTTCTCCTTTGCCTCTTCTTCACCTAGTTTTTGGAATTCTATTCCCTCAAATCCTGTCCACTCTTCCCATACAGTCCGTCTTGCAAATTCTCCTCATCCCTCATCACTGCCATGATAACCATGGCCGACAGCTAGATCATCATACACATTTACCTCTCTTCTCTCCACCCAAATACCCACATCAGGATGTTTCCTTGACACATCTCCCACTGTTCAGAACATATTGGTGGCTCCTAATGGCTTCTACGGCCATCTTGCCCTCATTGATGACTTAGTTATGCCCTTCTTTTCTCTTCAGTTCAAGAAACCAACCCACTATTATTTATATAACATTTGATCTTTTTCTTTTCTTACCCAAGTCATTATGCCATCTCTACTTCTATCTGCAAAATAATGCACTTCTCTGGAAAGTGCCTCACCAAGTTCATGTCTATCAACCTTGCCCAAAATAATGCCCATAACCAGCACCTCTAGTGATACCCCACAGGACTTTCATCTAAGGTGCAGGGGATACATACATTCAAAGATTTCTCTACGTATTTAAAACCATTTGTTTGTAGATCTCAAGCTTTTTGTCATTCTTAACCATACTTTCTACTTCTGAAATTTCAAAGAAAGGTATATAGTACTCTACAAATACTGAAGACTTAATAAATAAAGTTAACAAATGAAGTCTGAAATAAAACTTCATTTCAAAATACGTGCACTGCATCATGATACCCACCTTTTCACCTTCTTTTCACTGTATCTGGCATTGCTCTGTAACAAAAGGAAATGAAAGTTTCAGATGATTAAATCAATGATCTTGCTCTCTCTTGCTCTTCTTCCTCCTGTACTTCTAGATGATTCTGTGATTTTTTTTTTTTTGTCCATTAGATTAACAGCCTCATCAACTTGTGTACTCTCATCGAGCCCTGCTTCTTAGCTTACTTGACTAGATCAATGTTCTCATCTGTTGGAACAATCAGACAGATAAGGCAGGAAGGACAAAAAAGCAATCACAGGGCAAGTTCAGAAGAAGCGCTGATTTCATGGCCTCCCTGGTGACCCCCTGGGCCAGTGGGTCTCAATGAGAAGATGCACATCACTGTCCTCCACAGTGCTAAAGACATAGATGGAGAGCTCAAGGATCTTGCCTAAAATAATTCCCCAAATGTTTCTGATCTGGTCACCAGTTAAATATGGCAATGCAAAAAAAAAAAAAAAAGAAGAAAGGAAGAAAGAAAAGAAAGAAAGAAAGAAAGAAAGAAAGAAAGAAAGAAAGAAAGAAAGAAAGAAAGAAAGAAAAAATGGCAATGATGATATTTTCATTTTTAGCACAAATAATTTAATTTTAATATTTAGCAAAAAGGAGTCTTTGATATAGCTCAAAAATTAATTTCACGTAGCTATTCTTTATTCATATTTATTTTTATTCTGGTAGGTTTTGTAGTTTTGTAGTTTTACCAATTTCAATATGTTGACACAGAGCGGGGAACATCAAACTAAGATTTTTTGACCTTCTACCACCTACCAGCCTGTTTTGTGTGATGACTACACTATATTAACTTAGCTATTCTGTAAACGGAAAATGTTTCTTAAATCTCTTCCTCTTACAAATGATGTTGCAAGAACATGCTTATATATACTTCTCTGTACATACATATGAGTGGTTCTCTAGTAAACAACTCCAGAAATGTAACTGCTTGAAGACATGGCATGCACATCCTCCATTTTTTTTCATTACATGTTGCCAAATTGTTCCCTGCAATAGTTGTACCAACTTAACATTTCCACTAGCATGGAGTAGTTATAATTGAACACAGCTGTGTCATCGCTTAGTATTTATTGCCAGACTCCAATTTTGCCACAGTAATGGGTTTAAAAGGTACCTGTTTTTTTTTATTTTTACTTTCCCTATTACTAGGTAGTAAAGCATCCTTTCATATTTTTGTTGCCTATTTGCGTATCTCTTCCCTGAACTGTTCATATCTTTTGTACATTTTTCTGAGTTGCTTTTCTTTTTCTTATTGATTTGTGTACAGTTCATTATAAATATGGCACTTGTGTAACACTAATCATCAGCACAAAAATTATCTGACTTTTAAGTTTGGTTCTGATTTTTTTTAAACAGGAGCATACTGTATTGATGGGCATTTTAAGCACTGTCCAATTGGTAGAAGATAAGCAAGATCATAGGAATATATGACAACATGAAGGGGAGCAGGGAGAGGAAGATGAGAATGAACAGTAGAAGAATTTTGCATGTGAGTAACAGGGGTTCATAATGAAAGGAGAAAGCCAAAATGCTGCCACATATTAATATGACATAAGAGTACATGAGATAAAAGTAGACAAATTGGGGGATCCCTGGGTGGCTCAGCCTTCGGCCCAGGGCGTCATCCTGGAGACCCAGGATCGAGTCCCACGACCGGCTCCCTGCATGGAGTCTCTGCTTCTCTCTCTCTCTCATGAATAAATAAATAAATAAATCTTAAAAAAAAAAAAGAAATCTCTTGAAAAGTAGAAAAATTATGGTTGAGTACTTGAGGCAATTTTTAAATGAGGAAACACAACAACAACAAAAAAGATTATCAGGAAGCAAAAGGCTATTACTATACCAGAGAAGATGGAGAGTTGTTGACATTGTCCCAGTTACAATTTGGTGAGAAATTATTTTCAAGTGGTGATTTTGAAGCACTAGAATAAAAGGAAATAATTATTAGTTTATGAATTCTGCCTATTTTTGTTGATCAGAATTTCTTTCTCTAAATTATTCTTAAACATTGAACATTTTTGTAAAAATGTACTCTTTCAGGTAGCAATCTGAATTTGTTAAATATCACAGTTGTTTGTCCACACTTACCATAGGCTTCTCATCAAAGTGTTGTTCCTGGAGTCACTAGGTGAAGTAGTCCAAGAACCAGTTGAATCAGCATTCTGAAAGAGTACCCCTTAAGAGTTTTAAGAGCAATTCCATTACTTCTCCATACTGGCTCACTCTCTGTGCGCTAACTACCACATTTATTTATGGATGCTTGATCTAGATTTTAAAAACAACACTAGGGTCACTAGGTGGCTCAGTTGGTTAAGCATCTGCCTTTGGCTCAGGTCATGGTCTTGAAGTCCTAGGGTGAGCCTGCTTCTCCCTCTTCCTCTGCCGCTCCCCCTCTGTTCATTCTCTCTCTCTCTCAAATAAGTAACTACAATCTTAAAGAAAAAACAAAAACAAAAACCAAAAAACAACCCTGAGTTGCCAATAGAATTTGCTCTCTGAGGTTTCATGGCCCCATGACTCGTGGCTCATTGGTGAAACACAGAATGGAGGAATCCTTTTGCTATGTGATTGGCTATTTTGGCATCATCTAAAGACAGCCTTACCTCAAACAGACTTCAAAAAGAATTTTAAAATTTAAAAGTTAAATCCAAAGGCAGTACATACCATTAAGGTTTGCTCTGACTCTATCTGTTCATATGCAAATTTAGCAGCCAAATGTTTTGCCTCTTGTTTAGTAGCACCTTTACCAATATCATATTCTTTCTGTCCAATTTTGCATCTGCAATGAAATCTAGGAGAAATGATAGAGAACATTTACCCAAATACCAAAAAACAGTATATCTAACTTAAGATTTGGAAATAAACATATATTAACAAAGATCTTAATAGAACATGAATTTAATAGGTAGATTTACAGTTTGTATCTTGTATAATATAAATCTTCGATAAGATGTCTGACCAATTTGCTAGAATAACCAAGATTAGCTGATGTCTCAGCTTGCATTTTTCAGGCAACTTCTCTTTGTTGCTTCACTGAAAGATCTGGTGAAAAAGGAACTCAGTGGAGATTTTTAAACACTCCTCAAAGGTCAAAAGATATGGAGGTAGAGAAGGAAGAGAGAGAACTGGTGAATTTTTCAGAGATGCTTCAATTGAAAGAAAAAGCCTAAGTAAGAAAGCTGGGGCTTCTATAGGGGAAACAATAAGGTTGCAATGTTTTGTAGGGAACTGGCAAATCATAGATTTTGTTCTAACTTCACATTTTCTGCCCCCTGGCAATGTGTCCCCAAACCTAAGAAAATCTCTACAGTGTAAAACCCCTGTGTTGAAGTACACATCCTCCTCATATGAGATGTAAGAACACTTGTGATTAGGCAATGATACCTGGACAATTATATGAGAACTATATTTAAGGTGGGAAAGGAATGGACATGGTATCAAGGAGTTACTATTTATTTTTTTCAAAAATTATTCCAGTATTATTTGCAGTTGAGGGCAAATACACCCAGCCAGGGTGAGTCTTCCCTGCTGGGCCCTGAAGGCAGAATTAGAGGGAATGACTAGGTGGTTTCTATGGCTCTTACTCTCCCAGGCACCCCTAAGTAGACTTCCTCTCTCTTCTTAGGTAACTGTTAGAATGCTTAATCTAAAGGAACCAAACAGGTGAGCTACAGAAAATAAAATAAAATAAATAAAATAAAATAAAATAAAATAAAATAAAATGGCCTCCTACTTTGTTGAAATAGACTCACACAATTCACTTTTGACTATTTCATGCCAATGAATACTCTTCTACTCTCCTCATCCTGGTTCTGGTCTACAAGCCATCAGAATTAAAAAGTACGTAACTGAGTCAATTCAGAGGACAGTATCCTGAAGTGGTTATTTGGACTATTTGCTGTTTAGACTTTTTCTCTCTCTCTCCTTTAACAGGTTGGCTATAGCCAAGAAACAATCTGCTTCAGGTTTCAGAGCTTAGCCTATGGCTAAAACTCACTTCCTTTAATACCTGGTATTTGTCTAGAGAGTGACACCATTCAACCAAATTTGAAGGACAAACACCTAGACAAACAGCTCTCTAATCTGATTATGGCGAAGAGAGTCATGTTACCTACACATGTGGTACAGTCATCATCACACTCCCACTGTGACCTAGGGGACAGAGAAATCTCCACAACCCCCTCCAGCAGGGGCACCCCATTCTCTCCTAGGTCTCTTGCAGACTAAGCCACCAGATATACCTCAGAAATAAAGGATCCCTCAGATTTGATCCATTATGGTATATGGGCCCCAAGTATTCAGTAGTTAAGCATTTCCATATTTGAATTACAAAGATGTCCAACTATGTATAAATCCTATAAAACCTTCTGTGCAGAAGGTACAAAAAGGCAAGACAAATATTTCTGGAAAATTAGACATGACAACAAGTCCATTCTATTGCTTAGATACAATGAAACAGAAGGAAAAGCTGAACTACATCTCACCTTTCTGGCCCACAATCCTTCAATTCCCATTGTTCATAATTTACAGATAGTTGTTCCTTCTGGGCAAGCCTATTCATACGGCCTATGTAATTCCCAACGCCTTCTAATCCTAATCCTTCTGAAGTATCTGTTGTTGGCAGTGATAAAGAACTAACCGCCTATAAAAGAAAATAAGAAACATATTTAATACAGATGAAAACAAAGATTTAACCATTTTATTTCCTCTAATAAAATTACTAAATGAATATTCAAAAATAACTTAGATTTTACGTATTGCCCTAGTCTCTACTACCTTGAGTAAAAGTCTAAGCATGTATCTTTTTCTACCAGAAAAAATCCACAAGAAGAAATGTTAACAATAGGAAAGGAACTACCCATTTTCCTTTTATAGTTTCCTACAGAGAAACAATATGGTCAACTTTCTGGTTAATCCATGCAAAATACTGTAATACTGTCTAGTTCACTTACCTTTTGTAAATCTCAAAAAACAAGGTAACCAATATTGAAGGAAAGTTATATCCTGGATCACACCTCATTGGGTAAGAGGAGTATAATAGCCCCATTCCTTCCATTGTTATCTGTACCTTATTTATTCCTAATCTGACAAAAGCTTGTCCAAAGTTTTTTACTTTTATTAATCTGTCAAAGAAGTAACTTTTGGTTTTATCAACCTTCTTTATTTTTTCTTTGTTTTATTTTACATTCATGTTTGGCCTTATTATTTTCATCCGCTTTTTCGGGGAAAGGTATTCTATTGTTCTTTTTCTAACTTCCTGGTTTGATTTTCTGGCTCATGAACAATTCACAAGTTTGCAATCTCACTTGATTTACTTTTCCCAATTTGGGTTACAAGGGTGATATCATGGAGTAAGATTTTTCAGGAAAGTACCTTGAAAGTCAGTTTTTTCAAAATTATCAATATCTGATAAATGATCCTCTTTTGTCCCACATGTAAATGATTTATTTTCTCATTTTACAGCTGGTTTCTGCTACCCCATGGTTTTTAATGTAGCTGTGGACAGCAATTTTTTCATTTTAAAAAATTTCCTCTTTCTGCCTCGATGCTTATAGGATTTTTTTCATCATCCCTAGAGCTCAGGACTTTCCCAATGATCCATGTTCTTGGTGGCTCTGTAGTTTTCTATATCTTTTGAGTTGTTTTTTTTTTTTTTTAAGATTTTATTTATTTATTTATGAGAGACACACACAGAGAGAGGCAGAGACATAGTCAGAGGGAGAAGCAGGCCCATTCCAGGGAGCCCGATATGGGACTTGATCCCGGGACTCCAGGATCAAGCCCTGGGCCAAAGGCAGGCACTAAACTGCTGAGCTACCCTGGCTACCCTGTTGAGTTATTTTAACCTGCTTCCAGGTCATCCTTTACTTCAGAAACACTTTTAACACTAATCTCTTCGGATAGCTTCTTCTGGGACACGTGGGTGGCTCAGTGGTTGAGCGTCTGCCTTTGGCTCAGGGCATGATCCCGAGGTCCTGGGATTGTGTATCACATCAGGCTACCTGCAGAGAGCCTGCTTCTCTCTCTGCCTATGTCTCTGCCTCTCTTGTGTGTCTCTCATGAATAAATAAAATCTTAAAAAAAAAAAAAGATAGCTTTTTCTGTAATCTTAACTCTCTTCCCGGCTTCCAGTATACCAGTTCCACAGGTGTTGATTCTCCATCACCTGTCCTGCTGATCAGTCATTCTCCGCAAGGTCCTTCCATCTCTTTGTTCTTTGTCCTCAATCAGGTGGGAAACTCCTGCCAGAACCTGTCAACTCATTTCTCACTGTTTCCTTTCCTATGCATTCAACTTCATAGGCTGTCTTTAGTGCTGGCATTCTAAAGAGGTAATTTTCAGGCTTTGCCCACTACTTCCTAGATATACCTCTGACTCTAGACTCTACAGAAAAGGAGATGGAGGGAAAAGACCCAACTTCTGAATGTAAAAGTACTTGTGAATAGCTTTATTCTGTGTGTGTTTTCTTGCAAAGTAAAGTTAGAAGGGGCATTTACTCACCTTGTTTTCTTTATGAAGTATTTCAAGAGCTAATTTGGCTGCAGTATTTTTGGCCTCCTTCTTTGATTTACCTTCGGCTTCTGGATATTTTCTCTCATCTATGATAGCTTGGAATGTAAATCTGATTACAAAGGCAATATTCATAAAATGTTATAAAATTCCTGCATTATCTACAGACAAGTATTCCAATCACACTGTCTCCCATAACTACCTTGAAGGTTTTAACCTGTTCAATATAGAATTTAAGCAGTCACCCTCACTCAGCCAAATAGCACATCATCTATGCTCTAGAGCTAATTATGTACTTCAAAATCATGCCAGAGTTGCCATTCTTCCAGTTCATATTTTATACAGCTATACCTTTAAAAAAAATACAGCAATTTGGGGTGCCTGGCTAGCTCAGTCAGTAGAGCATGCAATTCTTGATTTCAGGGTTGTCAGGTTGAGACCCACAATGGGTATTGAGAATGCTTTAAAAAAGTCTTTAGAAAGTAGAAATTTACCTTAAGTTATGTGCAGGTCCTTCCTTAGACAGTTCATTATACTTAAGTACCTTTTTGTGCTTCTGACAGAATATATTAAGTTCTTCAATAAAAAAACTTGGTGGACGCTGATTGGCCATTTCCTCTAGTAACCTAGAACAGAAGAGATGTTTGAAAAAAGTGACACAGAATATATTTAATCTGATTTTCCCAATTCAGTGCAGGAGACAAAAAAGGATAAGAAGAATTTTCTTTTTAAAAAAAATTACTTATTTATTCATGAGAGACACAGAGAAGAGAGAGAGGCAGAGACACAGGCAGAGAGAGAAGCAGGCTCCATGCAGGGAGCCCGATGCGGGACTCGATCTCTGACTCCAGGATCACACCCTGGGCTGAGGGCAGGCGCTCAACTGCTGAGCCACCCAAGCGTCTCAAGAATTTTCTTTATAAGACTCATTTCAGCCCCACATAAATCCAGAGAAAACTTCTTACAAAATCTTTTTCTCTCATGAACTGCACACCAAGCTAATTTCTCCAAAACTTTCTACTTCCAAAACTCAACTGGTCAAAAAAAGGAAAGGGGTCTTTTTCTTCCACTCTGCTCTCTGCTGCCAGTGAGTGTCAAGTACAGGTATCTCCACCTGCGTGAGAAGGTAAAAAGTCTACACGAGTAGAATCAGAATTCTTCATGATGAGAAAAAAAAGGTTGAGAGTATACATATAAAGTGAAGTCTAGGGATCCCTGGGTGGCGCAGCGGTTTGGCGCCTGCCTTTGGCCCAGGGCGCGATCCTGGAGACCCAGGATCGAATCCCACATCGGGCTCCCGGTGCATGGAGCCTGCTTCTCCCTCTGCCTGTGTCTCTGCGCCTCTCTCTCTCTCTGTGACTATCATAAATAAAAATTAAAAAAAATATTAAAAAAAAAAAAAAATAAAGTGAAGTCTATTAAATGATCGAAAATTTCACTATATAGAAATAGATGCCCCAATGACATCTCAAAAATCTTCCCTTTAAAATATGCATTAGTCACTTTTACCTGGATAAATAATGACCCCAATTTATGGGTCTATTAGACCAAGAGAGTAGCAGTGATTTAAGTCATAATGAAAATCTAAAAAAATATAGAATATAAATATAGGAGCCAAAACTATAAAACTCTTAGAAGAAAAAATAAGGGTAATCTTCATAATCTTGGATTTGGCAATGGAATCTTTGCGATGACAGCAAAAGCACAAGCAGCAAAAGAAAACAGATAGATTGGGCTTTAACAAAAGTAAAAACACATCTGTGTTACATAGGACACTATGGAGAAAATGAAAAGACAATTTACAGAATAGGATATCTATAGATCTCCTCTCTGCTCTACTAACACTCACTCCCCTGGTGATCACCTCTAGACTTATGGGTTTAAATTTCACCTACACAATGATGGTTATCATCATCATTAACACCTCTACCCCTGACTATTTCATGACTCTGTTTCTGTTCAATAGGCTGCCTCCTTGACTCCACTCCTTCCACTGCCTCCACCTGGTCAACTCCCATTTCCTAGAGATCACAGCTCAGAGGTCCCTTCCCAGAGACCCTAGAAGTCCTTGTTTGGCACTCCATCACAGCTCTTATTCCCTTTACTGCAATTGCTTACATAAATGACTATCTTCCAAAAGAGACCATGAGCTACAAGAGGGAGGGGGCCAGGCTGTTATTATAGGGGCTCAATAATCAATGAATGAATACCAAAATATCGGCAGACCTTCCTCCATCTGCATTACTTGTCACATGCTTTTCGCTTTGCTCTGAATGCAGTATCTACACCTTCTGTCCACCAGACAACTCTACTCATCTGTGAGGCTGACAAGTCTTCTTTGATGTTGGAGGGGCAGCCAGTACTCCTCCAAGGGCCTGCCACTCCACCTGGCTCAGCCCTCATAACAGCCCAGTCAGTGAGCTCTTTGGGAAGCAGGTTCCATGTCCTATTCATCTTTGTATCACCAATACCCAGTGACAAGTAGTAAACGTCCAACACTTGGATAGTGTATAGGAAAATGAAAGGATGACCTGTTAAAACTAAATACTCTACTTGAAACCCCCTCATCTTCTCCCTTTTCTTCATCTGCTATTTTCTGGGGATCCTTTCTTCATTTATAATAAACGCTCATCGAGTGCCAGGCACCATTCTGAGGATGAGTATACAGATGTGGACAAGACAAATGAACACCTGACCTGAGGGAAGACAGGAAATGGCCATGCACAGAAACAGATAACGGGAGTGGATAATATGATAAGATGGCCAGAAGTGCTATTGTGAAATTAAATAGGGGTGTGGCATAGAAGGTGAGTTGGTAGGTAGAGGCAGAGATATGAGGGAGGTGGTTTTTAGATACAGTGGTCAGGAAAGACCTTTCATAGGAGACAATTTTTTTAAATTTTTATTTATTTATGATAGTCACAGAGAGAGAGAGAGAAAGAGAGAGAGAGAGAGAGAGGCAGAGACACAGGTAGAGGGAAAAGCAGGATCCATGCACCGGGATCCCAACATGGGATTCGATCCCGGGTCTCCAGGATCGCGCCCTGGGCCAAAGGCAGGCGCTAAACCGCTGCGCCACCCAGGGATCCCCTCATAGGAGGCAATTTTAAATGAAGACTGAATGATGAGTCCATTATATCAAGATATGGGGGAAAAGTAACTCAGGAACCACCATGGCCTTTGAAGGGAGAACAAAAACATCAAGGGATCAAGGGGACTCTGCATAGTGAGTGAGGGGGAAAAGAGCAGGAAGTGAGTCAGAGAGGTCAGCGCCTATAGATCTTATAGGTCATGGTCGCAACTGGTGGATGGTATTCCAATTGCAATATGAAGTTACTGGACATTCTCTAAGTAGAGAGGGGATGTGATCGGATTAATGGTTTTTTTTGTTTTGTTTTGTTTTTTATTCATAGACACAGAGAGAGGCAGAGACACAGGCAAAGGGAGAAGCAGGCTCCAAACAGGGAGCCCGATGCGGGACTCGATCCCGGGTCTCCATGATCATACCCCAGGCTGCAGGCGGCGCCAAACCACTGCGCCACTGGGGCTGCCCTAATGGGGGGTTTTTTGTTGTTTTTTGTTGTTGTTGTTAAGATTTTTATTTATTTGAGAGAGCGAGTGCTTGAGAGAACACAAGTGAGGGTGCAGAGTGGAAGGAGAAGCAGGCTCCCCGCTGAGCAGGGAAACCGATGTGGGGCTCGATCCCAGAACGCTGGGATCATGACCTGAGATGAAGGCAGACGCTTAACCGACTGAGCCACCGAGGCACCCCTGGATTTCTGTTCTAAATTATTACTCTGATACTATGTAAAGAATAAGGTATGGTGGCAGGGACCGGTGTGGACAGGGGAGCAGACCACAAGAAGCAAGGAGACCAAGCAGAGGCTGCTGCTGAGGTTCAGGGGAGCAATGGTGGTGGCTGGAAGCACAGGGCTGGAAGTACCTAGAGTCTGCGCAAAGGCAAAGCTGTCACATTACTGCTTAGTGTTGTGGAGACAGTCAAGTTTTAGAGGCCACACTGATCTGGGCCACACCCTCTCTGAACCTTTCATTTGTGACCTGAAGACAGGAATAAAAACCCCCGATTTAGATATTGTTGTGAGGAATAAATCAGATGAAAAGCATCCAGCAGAGTCCCCCACACCATTAACCCTCAATAAATGATGCTCCTGGTCTGCAATTCCAAAATCCAAAAAACACTAAAAACTGAGGTTTATTTTGTTTTTGTTTGGTTTTTGATAGGTTTACAGCCCCTTGTCTAGACCTGAGCTGACACAAGCTATCTATAGTCTTTATGAAACTTGGTTGTCCACTTACACACCTCACTACAGAAATTGTTTTATTATAGAGTGCTGCCCCCAAAACTGCTGAGAGCACTCTGTAACAGACAAGATTTATGCTGCCTTTCCTTTCTAAAATCCAAAACTCTAGGAATACTATAATATGCATGGCCCAAGGGTTTTTGATAAGGATCTGTAGATGAACGATTATTTTTAGGAACCAGTGTCATTTACTTTGGTCACAACATGAGACCATACATCAGATTGGGAGGGGATCACAGATATCAGAACAGCAGGTATAGAAGAGCCCTTAGCAATTATAACCTGAAGTTCTATAAATGCTGAGTCCTAAGTACTTTTAATGTTAAGTAACTGCTGATCATCAGGATGACAAGCCGGTTTGAAATTTAAGTGAAATATGTATGCAAACTAAGAAAGTGCTGAATTAACATGTTTGTAAAAGTGCATGTTTTTCAAGTCTGGAAAAAAGAATCAGCGGGCTTCTTTTCAACTATTGTCAGTAAATCTTGTTTTAATTATCTATTATCGTTTTCCTAAAAGAAATCTCCACCGAAAATCACTAACGAGTGTTATGTATCCATTTTACTCATGAACCCATCTTAGTCATCTTACTTTGACTGTACCTCTGTCCTGGCAGATTCTGAGTTTTCTGTGGACCCAGCCCCCCTCCACGGCTTGCACAAGGCTTGGCATACAACAGTCATTCAACTAGTATCTGATTAGTTAAATGAATAAACGGCAGGTCTGGTGTTAGGGATTCTTCGGATTCAATGAAGCAAATCGAAGAGCATAATCGGCCCCAAATTCTAAGCTCCTAAGTGGCAGCAGAGTTTATCTTTCTGCTCTCCTTTGGGAGACATTTTGAGTACTAAAGAAATCACAAGGAATAGAAGTCTTATTATTCTGTAATTCAAAGAGAATTTATGAATTACCATTCATTAAACAGATTATTTCATGAGAACCTATTATGACTAGGTGCTGGGATGGTTCCAGGGGACAAAACCCTGCTCTTGTGAACTTACTAGTGGAGGAGCACAGACAAGTCCATAAAAAAAAGTCATGGGGCTGATAACTACTATGCTGAAAACTGAAGCAGAGTAAGGGACAGTTAGGGAAGGGCGGGGTTTCTTTTACATACTTGGCTGTTCAGGGAAGGCTGTTGTAATGAAATGGCATTGCAAGACCTACAGGGTAAAGCAAAAGAATGCAGGCACCTGGGGGAAGAGCTTTCCAGGAAGAAGAAATGGGCATGCAAAGGCTCAGGGGCAGGCATGTCCTTGGCTGTAACCCAAGAAAAGCGATGAGACCTGTCTGGTCCCAACGGAGAGAGCAAAGGGCCTTGTATTCGACATTTAGCAAAAAAATTTTTTAAGATTGACTGATTGATTGATTTGAGAGAGAGAGAGCGCGCTCAAGGGGTAGGGGAAGAGGGAGAGAGGGACTCTCAAGCGGGCTCCCCGCTGAACACGGAGCGCAGTGGCCTCCCAGACAGCTGGGGGCTGTGCACCCCCACCTGACCCGAGCAGAAATCACCAGTCCGTGGCTTCACCGAGCCACTCAGGCGCCCGTTGACGGATTTCTGATGAGATGGTGAGCTCCTGGGACCTTCCGAGCAAGGAGTGTCCTGTTCTGACTTGACCCCTCGGCAGTTGCAGTGTGGAGAAAGGACGTGGGGGGCAGGGGGGGGCCGCGCTGCAGGGGGGCGGGGGGGCTGGGGGGCTAAGGCCGCGCCTGGGAAGCCACTGCAACCGCGGGGACAGCAGGATCTCAGCCGGGGCCTGTGTAGCCACCACGGGAAATCCAGGCCTCCTGTCGCCCATGTGCCTGTCCTACTCCACAACTTCTCTGTTTTCCACTGGATCCCCCGCCACCCCGCCACCCTGGCCTGGGAAATGCGTTATTTGCTCTTACAGAAATTCTTCGCAGGAAAAGAAAAAAAAAAATGGTTTTCGGTGCGCAGCGCGTCCCGCGATCGGTTCCCGAGCTCCGCGAAGGGCCCCGCACGTCGGCGGCGGGGCCGGGGTCGGGCCAGGGCTCGGGGGCTCTCCCCCGCGTCCGCGTCCGGGGCCCGAGGCTCGCCCCGCGCCCCCCGCCCCGCGCCCCGCGCCCCCCGCCCCGCGCCCTCCCCGGGCGCCCGCAGCCCCGCTCGCCGCGCTCACCCGCTCTCCCCGCAGCGCCGCCGCCGCCGCCGCCGCCTGCAGGGTCCGGGCCGCTCGCCCGCTCTCAGTTTCGGTTTCCTCGCGGGCTCCGCCTTCCCTCCGGCCACCGGGCCTCTCCCGCACCCGCGCCGGGAGCCTCCCTCCCGGGCCGCGAACCCGCGCGCCGGCCCCACGTGCGGCGGCGAGGCGCGCAACTACCCGCGCGCCGCACCCCCGCCTCCCCCACCCGCTCCCGCCTGATTCCGCACCCCCAGGGCGGGAAGGGTCCGCAGGGGCCTCGGAGCACCACCCGCAGCCCGCCGGGGTGGGTATCACCAGCTCCGTTTCACGCTCCGAGAACCTGGGTGAATTAACTGCCCAGAGGCCTGCTGCTGGTTAAGCGGCAACGCCGGGAGGCAACTCAAGGTCACCCACTCTGCTGCTTCCTTCTACCTCTGCTGCCTCCTCATCTTTACAAGACTGGGGATGAAGACACCTGGGGACACAGCCTTCCTTTAGTCATTTTCCACCCACCCACCCACCCATCCATCCATCCATTCCGCAGGTCCCGGCCAGCGCTCTTAGTTCTAAGCACCGGCCAGTCCAGCAATTAGGAGAACCATCTGCTCCCTGTGGGAACTCCTGGAGTTTTACTACCAAACCCCACTAGTAGTCCTGGATTTGTAAGAAATGGATAACGATGCTCGAGGAGTGCGGAGGACTTAAAACAATATCGACAAATAGGTGCATTTACTAGATGAGGAAACTGAGGTCTGAGGCACAGAGAAGTGACACAGTCATTAAGCAGGAGAGCAGGGATTAGAACCAGAAGTCTGTACCCTCAGCATCTTAGCTGGAGTGAGGGAGTGAGGTGGTCCCTAGATGGAACTCAGATGCGCATTCAATATTTGGCATTGGCTCTAGGAGTCCCTCCCCACTTCTCTTCTACATCCCCCTGGAATTTCAATCCAATGGTTATCAGTGGTTGAACGCTCTATTTTCTTTATAGCTCATGTCCTGGGCATGATTTAAATTCCACAAATGTGAAGTACTCATGCAATGATTTGAAAGGTAGATGGGAGAAAAATCCATCTTTCTGTGGAAATTCCAGATGACAAAAAGCTCCAGCAATGGTGGGAATTTTCATGGGACTATTTGCCAGTGTGTGGTGGCTGTGACAGCAGCAACAGTAGTAGCAGTGACAGGATTTCTGAGTTTTTGAGGCGCCTGAACTGCCCAAGACAGTTTAAGAAAGAAAAGGACAAGCTCAAGCATGGTCAGAGGATACAAGCTTTAAAAATGCCCAGAAGAGCCTTGTAGTTCTTTAGTGTCAGGGCTAATGTTGCATACATTCGGTGCAGAGTCTGATGCTGCATGTAGCCGACTTGTGCAATACAAATTTAATTTATTGCCTCCCCAGTCTGCTTCTATGAACTTTGAGGCCATTGATTGGGAAAGAACGAGGTCCTGGGATTTGGGTGGATTTGAGTGGATCCAAGTATCAGTACCCTCCCAAATTCTGCTGAGTCTCCACAGTCCTTCCATTCTAGTTTGATAAGACTGGTACAGCCTGGTTGGAAGATTATGAGGTAACCACCTTACAAGGAGGTGCTGATTCTCCACATGCCTAGACCTAGAATCAGATGCTAACATGCCCCAAGAGGATATGGGTAAGATTTGATCCAGGGGAGATAGTTTACACAACAAAAGATTTGCAAGATTTCACTAATTTTTATCAGCAGAAATCCAGGAAATTGATAATTTTTATCAGCAGAAATCCAGGAAATATGCATGGAAAGTATTCTAAAGGTGGCACTAGAAAATGAACATAGTTTAGATTATGCACTCCGCGTTCTGGCTTCAGCAGCTGGAAATGGCTCTAACAGCTTGTTCAATTGGTTTACTGCAATCTGGGCTCAGTGAAACTGTGATGCCACTAATACAGATAAATCAGAAATACTTAGGGACTCAGGATATTGGAGTAGATTGATGATATGTAACCTGTTCTTTTGTTCCCTAACCATGCCTCCCAAGAAGATCCAAAGGACCACATTGGAGTGGGGAGCATCCACATCCTTGAAAAGCTCTGTAATGGCTGATCACGGTACGTAGGGAATGTTGATGGGAGATGCTACCATTGGAACAGCTCCCTGATTTCAGTGAGGATGATGGCAGGTATCTAAGACCCTCAGGACAGTTACCCCTGCTCTGTCAACCTACATGTCTGAGCTTGTGGGGAGTTTCCTGAGATCAGATGACTGAGAAAGAAAAAGCCTAAAACACAGTACACTGGCATTAACCAGAAGTGGGTTACCATAGCGCCTCTGGGAGGTGGCCCTAAAGGATACTGAGAGAAAGGAAATCCTCCCCGTGAACACAGAACATTTGAGCAGAACATTGTCAACTGGAAAGACAACTGTCTTCCAGTTGTCACGTGGAAAGACAGAAAGCCAGTGTCTTGGACAGAACCAGAGTCTAGCAGGTTAGCCAGATTTTGAGAAGTTTGGAAGGAACAAGATCAGAGGATTGGTGATAAGGTGGTCTGAGGAAAACAATGTGGGTAAGCCAGTTAGACAGCTTATGAGCATATTGTGAATGTTTACCAAAGGCATCCACTTCTGAGGAGGCTTTTGAGAAGGGATGGGGGGGGGGGGCAGGAAGACTTGTGTAGACGTCAGTCTTTTCCCCAGCCACCCTGATGCTTGTTCAGGGAGTGAGGAAACTATGGCAGTAGGAACATATGATATGTGTGAGTTCATCAACACGAAATTCTAATCAAGACTGATCTGGCTGCTAAGCAGCCAACATTCTCACATCAGGGACCAACTCTGAGCCCCAGGGTAGAGTACCACATGCCAACAGAGACCAAACAACTACCTTATGGCAGACAGTTATTTGTGGAACCCTTCCTTCATGGAGTGGGCAGGGATTTGCCCTCTGAGGTGTGGGGGTAAACATTTATTGCAGATATGGATTTGCTTTTCCTTTCTGCAATTCTTCTGCCAGCATCATCATTGGTGGACATTCTGAATACCTTGCTCACCATCATCATATCCCTTACTAAACCCATTTTACAGAAAAAGAAGTGACTGATGTAGGATTCAGTGATTTTATTATGAACCCCATTACCCCAAGCAGCTGGCCGTATCGGACAATAAGATGGAGTAATGAGGACTCAGGTGCAGCCCCAAGTAGGAGACAATACTTAGCAAGCTGAGTGTACTACCCTTCACGGGCAGTGTATGTGCTAAACCAAATTGCTGTTTTGTCCATCGCCAAGATACATGAACTCAGGAAACAGTAAAATTAACAGAGGGTTGTGTCCCACAATTAAACCTACTTAGTTTGGGGCGCCTGGGTGGCTTAATTGGCAGCTAGGTGTCTGCCTTTGGCTCACTCGGGTCATGATCTCAGTGTCCTGGGGTTAGCCAACATTGGTCTCCCTGCTCAGTGGGGAGTCTGCTTCTCCCTCTCCCTTTGCTCCTTGCGCATGTGCATGGGTATGCATGCTCTCTCTCTCAAATAAATATATAGAAATCTTTTTTTGATTAATTTTTTTTTTTTTATTCATGAGAAACACACAGAGAGAGGCAGAGACTTAGACAGAAGGAGAAGCAGGCTCCTTACAGGGAGCCCGATGCGGAACTCGATCCCCGGACCTGGGATCACGCCCTGAGCCAAAGGCAGATGCTGAACTGCTAAGCCATCCAGGTGTCCCTAAAATCTTTTAAAAAATAAAATAATAAACCTAATTATGCACTTGCAAAATAGTGCTTCCTGTTCCTATGACATTGGGCTGTTTCCACTAGGGGACACATAATTCCTCAAATAGGAATTTGAAACTACATCTGGATATTGCAGATTCATGACAACATCAGGCCAGCAAGGAAATACAGGGGTTACCAAACTGGCTAGGCTGATTGATACTATGGTCTCATGACCTGTTTCAGAATAAAGGACAACAGAAGGTATACATTTTTCTTCCTTGCTTTGTTTTTGTAGGTATTAGTGAAGTACTTTTGATTGCTTCCTTCTGTCTCTTTATAGGAGATTTGCTGGTGGTTAATTTAATTTTTCATGACAGTCTTTAGGTTAGAGTGTCTTTTTTGGGGATCCCTGGGTGGCTCAGCGGTTTAGCGCCTGCCTTTGGCCCAGGTCGCGATCCTGGAGTTCCAGGATCGAGTCCCACGTTAGGCTCCCGGCATGGAGCCTGCTTCTCCCTCCTCCTGTGTCTCTGCCTCTCTCTCTCTCTCTCTATGTCTATCATAAATAAATAAATAAATAAATAAATAAATAAATAAATAAATCTTTTAAAAAAATGGAGTGTCTTTTTTTAAGATTTTATTTATTTATTCATGAAAGACACAGAGAGATAGAGGCATAGGCAGAGAGAGAATCAGGCTCTCTGTGGGGAGCCCAAAGTGGACTTGATCCCAGGACCACGGGACCATGACCTGAGTCACCCAGATGCCCCTAGGTTAGAGTGTATTAAGGTGGAATTTGTAACTAAAAGAGAAGAGGAAGAAAGATCACATAGCAATGGGTGTAGAGATTAGGGGATAGGATAAGCATGTTTTTCCTTTGAAGGAGGGGATGGCAGCATTAGGTGGGAACATAGTTCTGTTGTTTGCTTGAAAGATTATTAGCCAAAGCAGTGGACTGCACTAGATAATATTTTTATTTAGCTTCCATTCTCACTCCCTTCTATGTCTTCCTAATCCCTGGATTATAATGTATGGAAGGTTAAAATCACATTTTCCAGATGTCTGTGGAGTTAAAATTCTGGACATAATTTGGGTTCTACCAATGACTGATGAACAATGACACAAGGTTTGGAAGACAGAAGGGAGGAAAAGGTTGTCCTGTGACAGAACGAGCTGATAAGCAAGCTCCTGTGCTCAGTGGTGCATACAGGAGCTGGACTCAAGTTCCCTTGTCAATTCTCCAAGGGCATAGGGCATATGTGGTGGCAGCAGTGGTGGAAACAGTGGCAGTGACAGAGTCCTGAACTCTGGATAGCAGATATAGTGGAAGTCTCCTGGTTTCCATCCTGCCAGCCCTTCCAACATATATACATGCATTCATTTCCTACTAAATCCTTATGCTTAACATACAGTGGTTTCTGTCTCCCAATACTGCACAAGGAGAAACCTCTCTTGAAATGGAGCCTACATGA